ATGCCTTTATTCCCTGTCAACTACTCGGAAGATGCCCTCGGGTAATGATAAAAACAAATCTTGTTTTAATATTGGAATCAGTTTTACAACATTTCCATAGATTTCACACACCGCGACCGTCGTCTCATTGTTTCTCGATTTCTCGTTTTCATTGAAATTGTTGAACGTTTAAGAAAAGATAAGCTTTATAGTAAACATTTGTGCAGCCGCTTTTACCATTATTAAATTTAGAAGTTCTTAAGTCAGTTTCTCTGAACTATCTGGTACTTTTTCCGTAATGCAAGGCTTGGTAAATGGTAATAACCAAGTTTTAATACTTTCAACGCTACTATATAACAAATAATTTGAGGAGGTTCTCTCAAGATGATTTTTATATCAAAGATTTCAAGAGCCTAAACTGTGTATGATTCGCCTCTCCAAACAAATCTAAAGTTAAATGGTAATAAGGCTGTCTCCTTTGCTTCAAAACAAGGAACGTTACTTAAACTTATTATATTATATTATCATGAAACTGGGATTCAAATAACATTCTACCTTAGCTTGTATGGTGCCTCCCAGCTTCCCTATTTAACTGTGCAAAATGGGTATCAGCTGGGTTCATCAGGTTAGGAACGGAGTAAAAACTACAGTACAGAAGTTATATTATATGTAGTTAACAATTACTATTTACCCTAACAAGCTGAGCTATCGTTTGAGTTACATTTATTCTATCGCATGGTCTGATATATAATACCCTACTGCTCCTTTATACTATAACACAATAAAGCCAACAAATCCAGATAAATCTACAGACAAAACAACGTACAGATTTAAAGCAGAAGCAGAAATGAGAGTAAACTAAAGTTCAGAGATGCTAGCTTCTAAATTTCTCAGAAATACGGAACCCTTAATTTTATTATATCTTAATCTTCTACTGGACCATTGGACCAAAACTTCCTTCATTACTTCAGACATCAATTTACTCAATTTACTTGGGCAAGGACGAGTTGTATTTATAAATTTACAACATATAAATAAAGAATCGTTTGAAGTAGTCGAGATTGTCCCAGTCATGGTCCCATTACTCAGCGATACCCTATGACTGTTCAGTGTTTATTTAGCTACTTTCAGATATCGCCATGATATCCAACCCAACATGATGATCTTGATTTCCTTGTTTACTATTCGAGAACCTCCTTTGTCTGATTTGAAGATAAAACCGACTCAGCAACCGCCTCAAAGCAACCGCTTTTACGCTTTTACCATTTACTACCTTTTACCATTTACTACCTTTTACCATTTACTACCTTTTACCATTTACTATCTTATATAATATATCATATCATACTTAACATACAGTGACTTACTCTGACCTTGTTATGATATTATATACTTTCAGTAGTGCTCCTAACGCGTTCTAAATTAAATGTATAATTCCCGGTTAAAATGTTGTTGTCTCCTCAAGTGAACACTCATTTTACTTACTACTCACCAAAATGATCACTAATCATTGGCTCCCTCTAATCTATTGCAAGGTCTGATATAATACAAGCGTTTAAACTTTACAAAGAGTAATTAATGTTCAGTTTGGTTGATTTAAAGGTACAATTAGTAGAAATCGGGTGATTATTAGCTACTATAAGTGAGTATTAGCTAACATAAGTAAGTATTAGTGAGTATCAGTGAGTATTTGCTAACATAAGTATTAGCTAACATAAGGTACGAAGGTACTTGAACTAGATATTAGAAATTAGGTGACCAGTAATTGCTAGTAATGGTGATTATGATATTATAGAGGTTGTGGAACTAGCAGGGGAACTACCAGGGACTATTATAGTAAGGGACTTTAACAGACTTTAACCTTCTAAATGTGCAGACTCAAAGCATTCTAACAGCCAACATGGCTCTCCAGGTAAGAACTTAAAAGAACAAATCGGCTGCTTCTTAGACAGGGTTATTGAAGCCTTTAAAACAAATTCTGGGCTAAGTTTTAGGAATTCAGGGAATTTGTAATTGCAAGCTTGGAGCTAGAAATGATTTGTAACTAAATCGAGATAATGATCTATTTTAGGGGATAATGTTAAAAATAAACGTGTTTTTACCAGCATCTCGCAGCTAAACCGGTATGTTTACATAACATAATAACAGAAGTTGTTTACATAACCACATACCTTGACACATAGTTAAAAGAGTAAACACAGTTTTAACTACTGTCTGATAAATTTACAGGTGGGTACAGTGCTAACTAATATTTTATCCTTCATAATAATATTGTTTACAGTTTAAAACACTAGACTTAAAACTTATGCCATCAATAGTTCATTTCTGTCGAATTTTTCGTAATAAATATTCCACGTTCAGACCATTAATCTCAACTACTAGTGAGTCTACAACTACTGGTGAGTCTGCAGCAGAGTCGTACTCTGCAAACTCTGCAAACCCCCACAACACAATTTCCAGAACACAGCACCATTACCCACCACTACACCCAACCACCAAAGTAATATGCTACCAATCCCCCCTCTATATTATATGCTACCAATCCTTTCTCTTCATCACGTCACTCTACACTCAAGGCAGGAGTATAAACTACCTCTCTATAATATAGGTATATCTCTCTGCTGTGCTAGGAAGCACGTTAGCTCATTACACGAGCCGCGCACTTTTAACACCCATACAATAGACAGGGAGCGGGAAGTGGGGGACTACTACAAGTGGGGTTACACGCCAGGTATTACCTTATATGGGCACCACGTGACTACTGCTACAAGTGGGGTTACACGCCAGGTATTACCTTATATGGGCATCACGTGACTACTACTACTACAAGTGGGGTTACACGCCAGGTATTACCTTATATGGGCACCACGTGACTACTACTACTACAAGTGGGGTTACACGCCAGGTATTACCTTATATGGGCATCACGTGACTACTACTACTACAAGTGGGGTTACACGCCAGGTATTACCTTATATGGGCATCACGTGACTACTACTACTACAAGTGGGGTTACACGCCAGGTATTACCTTATATGGGCATCACGTGACTACTACTACTACAAGTGGGGTTACACGCCAGGTATTACCTTATATGGGCATCACGTGACTACTACTACTGCTACTAAGTGGGAGATGACATTGGGGCTATTATGAAGACAGTTTAAACCTGCGTTTCATTCCTCGTAAAGTAGAAATCATAACTTACAGCTATCCTACATTTCACCAAAAAAGCTATCTTGAAACACATGAGCACACAAAGTTTAGTTTACACAGGGCTTCATGTGTTATTTTGGGCAAAAAATGTATATTTCTTGCAGAAAGTGGCATGCTCATAATTAAAGTTTAATAGATGTCACTCTATGAATAATACAGGCAATTACCAAGCAACTAACCGAGTGAGTGTGGGTCAATGCCTCTTAAGACCTAATATGTCTCGGTATTTTAAAGAAGTTAGCAAAATGTCAAAGACTGACAGGATCGCATGTGATTAAACCTTACATGGTAAAACGCTCGATAGTTCGTAAAAAGTCCACATTTTACAGCTTCCACAGTGGGTGCCAAGTATATTATAATATAATCAACTTGAAGTAGAGAGTCTGCTTAGATTGGGTTAGTTTGGTTATGTGGTTAAATCCAGGTGAGTTAACAGAACTCTTGGGTAAGGGAAATTTGGGCCAATTTTTAAAAGACTGTAGTTGAGAGTTCACAGTAAATGGGGGTTCTATTTAACGAGTTCTCTTTTTAACGAGTTAGACAAGAGGTATGTTAGTGATGCATATAATTACTTGAGTATTTAAACTTAAAATCGGTAAATTGGGAATGTTTTTAGTGGAGTTGTAACAGATATATTATGTATCACCCTTTTTTTATTTATTTCAAGCAATCGGTCTCAAACCAGTCACTAATCATTCCTTCGACTAAATAAATGGTATATTATTGGCAGTTTTCCAGGGACGAATTTTTAAATTTGGGACCAAGCACAGCGATACGATACAACACTCTTAAACAGTGCCACATGACGTATCACATGTTATCGACCAATCACATCTCTTGAACTCTACCCCAGCAACCAATCACAACACACGAAGTCTACCCCACTGACTTCCCCCACCGAACCATAACCCTGTACAACACGATGAACGACCAATGAGATCACAGTATTCAGACCACGTGACTAGAGTTCCAGCCAATCCGAGCCCAGGAATGGGTTTGTTTCCCTCACAGAACCACAGTTTTACCAAACAGGGCAGGTTGGCGAGTGTTGCAAAAACACCGTGTTCTTTATATACCATGTACATAGTGTACTAATATTGTGAATAATGCGAGAGATTAAAGTCAGAACTATGTTCATTTGGAACCTAATGTCAAGTCATAATCAGAATCAGAACTTTGACCTGGAATAAAGTTCTCATAACCCATTATATACTGACAGTAAAGGTTGTGTTAGCATTTAGCAAATTAGCACCCATGTGAAAATATGTAAGCCTGGTATTTATATTCACCTGGTCACATTATTTACCTGCCAAACTAAATATTTCATTTATTTTCCCAGTCATAATGTTCTGGAGATCAAATGTAGCAATAAATCTGATGTGGAACTTTTGGTTGAGCTAACGAAGATAAGTCATCTTATCTATATCTATGCTATGATGGCAAGAACTTGAGCTTATCTGATGCTGTAGATATAAAATGTTCTCCATGCTTGGGAAACGATTGCAGATAGATTTTAAAGGCAGACAAGAAGCATGGTGGTCATAACTAAATCCCGATGGCCTATGACAGGAACGCTTTCATTTAACCTTATTTGGTGATCTACCGTGGATTTGGAGTAGTGACATGGAACACAAAGTCTAACTAATATAAGTGGCTAACTATTATAAATGGCAGTACTTTACAATTCCGGTCATTACAAGTGTCAAAGATTTCCCGTCAAAACTATTATAATTTCTATAAACCTAAATATTCAAACATGGCACATAAAAATGTACAAATAAAGCAATAAAACTAAAAACACTCACGAGCATAACTGCAAGACTTGACGACCTCAGCCGCGCGGCACATCCTGTACAACACATCAAATGTGTCCTGTTCTCCGCATTCCTGGGACTCTGGTACGCCTTGGTTACAAAGGTAAAACTTGCTGCAACTCATTGAGTCTGCTTCTTTGGATGTCTGCACTGAACTCACACATTTGAACGCTGTGGTTTTTTTGTTATCTTGTGATGGTTTTAAGAAAACTGTTTGTTGTATTAGATGGTTTTGAAAGATTTAAGTGATATCAATGGTGGAGATTTATATTTTTTGATGACAAATAAATTCAATGAATTTGAAACTCAGGAAGGTCATTATACCATAAAATATAACACAGACAAGTATTTACCTGATACGATGTTAGGTAATAAGATAACCCCCAGCCAAGTTATTAGTCGGATCATAATACTAGCTGAATTTGAAAATGTATTAAACTCAATTTACGATCACTTTGTTTGAAAATTCAATTAATAATAATTCTTTTATTGAATGAGAATCAACATTTGAGCTATGAAAGATTACACTGGCATTATTTTGATATAATACTAATGGAAAAATGATACCGCAATATAAGTTGCATACTGAGTGTCCTGATTTAAACAACTAACTAAAAAAGAAACGTAAACTTCATTGTTATATAATAATTGGTTTGGCTGAACGAACACATGAGGCATATTAATGTAGTTCACAAAGTAGTTCTAGAAAAATGTGAAACAAACAAGAAAAACACTGGTATTAAAAGCTATTCAATTTGTCCATAGTTTATCTTATTTCTTGTTAAGATTTAGCTCAGTTGGAATTGTTTATTATACTGGGTGCAAAAAAAGGGCATACAGGTTACATAGATACTAATACTTTGATCATCAAACTAAGTCAAGCTCCCAGAATTAGACAACAAATGGTCGAGTTTGGCAGAAGAATTTGTTAAGTGATAGTCTTTAGAGCAAGTAAGTATTCGACAGTTAGAGAATAAAGAAATATGGGACTTAACCTTGTTGCAAAAAGGATGATTTGGACTGACAGGAGCAAGATACAGTTCAAACATTTAATTATATTGCTTTCTTATTACCTAGACATCAATCTTTGCAAATTCTGCCTCAAAGGCTCTGAAAATTGTATCCAGGAAAAATTGTATAGTTCAGTAATGCAAAAAATGTCTACAATCTGCGGACAAAACTATTACAGGAACCGAGAAAAGTTCTGCAAACTGTTGCTCAGTAAGAGGATTACAATACAAATGTAATTACCTCTGCTTGAGTCACCCTAGAAAGACTGCGTCAGGGAGTCAAGTTGAACAAGTAGCTGTTCGGAAGCTAAGGATGGAGATTTGCAAGTATATAAATTTGAGACAACACTGCAAGGCATGCAAAGGTGACTCTTCCTGTTGAGTAGTTGTCAAATGTCAGTGGCGTAACAAAGTGCCCTGCTGACCCCACTGCACTGTGCAACGTTACGACACTGGTAGTTGTCGGACTCGTAGAGAAACAAAGATCCTTCTTTGTCCCAAGCAAAAAGTCAGCCATCGAAGGGAGTTGACCAAGGAGTTGAAAATGATAAATAAGTAATGTACAATTAGGACAGCCAAAATTTTGATTCTCTAAATATGTCACTGAGCCAACATCAAATGAAAGGTTTGTATTATTATGAAAGGAGTATACAGATTTCTGTATCAATACAGAATACAGAACTTCCACCGTGGCCACTTCATAGTTCAGATGAAATGAAATGTCAACTGTAATAATAAAGCATAAACAACTTAATAAACATCAAAGATTACGTGAAAATACCTAAGTTAAAGATCAAACAATCTATGATCTAGATTAGCCAAACTTATTGTCATCAATATAGTTTACAGTACTTGGAAGAATGATGAAGATATACTGTTTGAAGTAACAATGTGACCACATAGTCGAAGTTGAATTGATTTGATTTGGTTTTATAATTCATCCGTCATCATTTGTTACGTTGGTGTACGGTGAAGTGAACCACAACTTTTGATAAAATTCAATGATAGTATCGAATTGAAACACAAAAGATAAAATAGAATTTTACACAAGTCTACCAATGTAGCTTCGTTAATAGATGATGCATACTTCAGCTGAGAAAAGTTACCTTTGCGCATAACCTTAATTGTATGTAATGCACGCTGCACGCGTTTGTTTTAATTTAATTTTCAATTTCCTTCAAATTCAAATCAGAATAGGAAAAAAATAAAAGAACAGGGTAAAACACTGTCCGCTGCTAGAACTATAATATAATACGAGAAGTTAAAACTTATAGTTACAAATGGACAATGCAATGCCATTACTTGGAGGACTTCACAGCAATTCGACGTGAAGCGCCGCGCAAACTATCATTTTTGCGATGCAATTTGCATCGGCAATCTTTGCTTTTCTTTGCAAAGCAACGATTTAATGGGTTGACATCGTCAATCAAAGCTAAGTAATTTATTAAACGCAATTCGTTCACATGTTTACAAGATGTTAAAAGGAGTGCGGCGCAATATAGGGCCAGGGAACTGGGAAAGGCGCGCTTGGTCATTAGTAACGTGTAAGGATACATATGCATAAATGAAAATTAATTTATCAGTTTATGCAATGCAATTTCTTAAATTATGCAATGCTTATTTTTTGCATGCACACTGTTAAAAGTGTAGCTACACTTTTAACAGTGTGCATGCAAAAAATAAGCATTGCATAATTTAAGAAATTGCATTGCATAAACTGATAGCGCGATGCGTTACTGTGCCGCGCCGCGCACTCAATGAGGCTTCTCACTCTAGATCGGCGAAATGCGCTAATGTGCCGCGCCGAGCTGAGATGAATTGACATCGTCAATTAAGCTTCTCGCATAATTATGCTTCTTAATTATCAAATATGCTTCTCGCTAGATCGGCGATCGTTGCTCTCCTTCGCTTGCTCTAACTTGTCGTACGTTGTATGACCCGCCGGCCCGCCGGGCACGAGTGCGCGGCTCCCCCTGTATCGTAGAAACTCTACACTATAGCGAAGCGACAGTGGGGGTCACCACGTGATACAAGCTCTAACCAGAGCCCTCTCGCTTGCAAAGGATATTCTACTTGTGAAACAAGCGCGTCACGCAGTACGCGTATACACTTTACACATCACACATGGCTATGTGAACTCTTTATATTCGCAGAGCAACGATCTCGATGGGTTGACACCGTCAATCAAGCCCTGGTCATGGTAATTGCAGTAAGGTCCTAATTTTATGACATGAAGGCCCTAACTTCAAAACTTAAAGAAATTATTAAATTATACATACATGACAGTTTTGGATATTTGGAAAAAATGATTCATGTTTTAAAAAAATGTTATCGGCCGTCAATGTGCTGGTTCATGGTTGCAAAAATGTTAATAAATTTTTTTTAAAATGCATCTTTGACAGTTTGTCTATGGTTAACTTTTTGTCGAAATATTTGTAGGTTTAATATTTGAAAAACAAATATTTTACGAGTATCAGTCGTTCGCGTTATAAACGAAATATTAACCCTAAGCAAATCTTACGCAGTAGCCCAAAATACGTTTTTAATTAATGTTTATTTGTTCTATAATACTGTATACGTGGCACTTTTTACAGTATGAAAGCATACAATTTGTTTGGCTACTTTCTGTTTTCGTACACTTAAGTTGTTCATGGTATTGTCGTTGTGAAGATACAGTATTGAGTGGATTTTTTAAAATGATCATGATCTATTGCATATTGATAGGGTGCTCCCCCTATTTTGATTGTTGAACCTTGAACCTTAAATTCATGTGATGATTTATTTAAGGTTCACATGTAGTGTGTACGTCTAGTCTAGGATTAACATTATTTCATGGCTAATCATATATATGGGGCAGTGAAGTATACAATGAAACAGGTGAAGTTGCAGCAATCGTTTGAAATACTTTTAGAAATCATATCTTTCTTGAATCCTTCTAATTTAATTTTAAAGCCTAAAACAATCACAGATTTCTTGATCGGAGGGAGTTTGTTCCAATTGCAATATGGAATAACTTGCTCCGGGAGATTTTAGTTAAACTTCTATTACATCTGTTGCTTGAAACAAGGTTATGACCAGATCTGCTAAATCTAAACATTCCCGATCCTAATCAGTCAAACCACTTGTTACTTTAAGAGGTCCCCACTTGCACTTATTCGCCGCTCTGCCAGCGATGTCAAATTGAGGATTTTCAGTCTATGGCTGTAAGGAAGAGTAACCACCTCAGACAGGTAAACCGCCTCTGGACACTCCAGCTCCAAAGCAGTCCCCCAACTCCCATGAGCCGCCGCGCAGGTGGATTCCACAATTGGACACAATACTCAAGATGAGGTCTTATTAACAACTTTTTCTCTAATAACTAAATTCCTTACAATCCAATATATCATACGATTTGCCTGTTCCAAAGCAGAGGGCTATGGGTAATAACCCCCAAATCTTTTGCCTGTGCAGATAGTTCAAGTTCTATACCATTTACCATATAATTTAAATTATGATTATTGTTAAAATTATTATGCGCTACTTTGCACTTGGCAGGAATAAATTTTAAAAGCGAAATACTTTCCCAAAATTCTTATTCTTCAATATCTTTAGCAACACTAAAAATTAAAACACTAAAATTATGACAGGCATTAGTTTAATTTGCTATCACACAAGTGTTGGGAGTTATATTTCAAATAGACATTTTTAAAGCTGTTATAGAGTAAATAGACTCCTCCCCCTCAGTCAGCCACTTTAAACATGACTATTGTATAAAAGAAATTACTTTTCCTAATCCCTCCTCTATATCTAGGTTGGCATACATACCAAGTTAACAACCCCTTTAATGATATTGAGTCCCTCTGGAGTCTGGAGGCTCTGGTTAATGTCAAAGAATCATTTCAACACTGTTAACATGGCTAATGTAACAAACACTTTGAGATTATTATAGAAACGTCTATAATGAGAGAATTACTTCATCAAAGATTGACCTTAAACTATTGTTCATTATTTATTTCTTTGATACTGTTAGCATTAAACCCTCTCATGTTCTTAGGAAAAGATGGTGGGAATAACAGAAGGGCTTCTGCCACCAAATGTTACAATTGGTTACTCAATTCACAAGTGGAGTAGTTACGCTGGTGACTATCATCCTTCAAAGATTCTATTAGATGATCCCTCTGATCAAATGTCACGCTGGCAATCTGGGAGCAACTTTCCTCCGCAGTACTTAACTTTGAAACTTGACAGACCTTCAGTTATTCGAAAAATCACCTTTGGAAAGTTTCACAAAAGCCATGTATGCAATCTAAAAAGTTTCACAATATTGGGTGGCATGTCAGAAGAAGGAATGGTTGAACTCGGCAAGAAGGGATTAACAAACAATTCTAAACCTGAAACATTTGATCTAGACGATGCGTTTCATGGTAATTACTTTCCAAGCTCATATATTAAGATAGTCCCTGATACGACCTGGGGGCCGGCCGCATTGAACTTCAGTATCTGGTACGTGAGGCTATCTGGCGTGTCAGACCCCCTATATGTCAACCCCTGTATTCAGTTTTTCACAAACAGACGTCAGGAAAGAGCAATTAAGCTCTGCTTGAAACACCTCCGCCAGCACAATTACAGCGAAGCTTTTGAGTCTCTGCAAAAAAGAACGAAAGTCCAGCTTGAGCACCCCATGCTAACACAACTCCATGAAAAGCTCGTGGGTTCTGGGGATTTCGATGAAGTGGAAGTTCTGTTAGACCATGCATTTCACGACGGGTACATGGAGGATTATACAAGCAAGCAATACTCAGCTAAATGGGAGCAGATCCATGTTCCAGACGGTTCTCCAAGACCCGGTAACCGTGGTGGTCACCCCATGTGCATCGACGAAACAGCCGGCAAAGTATACCTCTTTGGTGGTTGGGACGGTAAAAATGACCTGGGAGATTTTTGGGAATATAACAGTTCAGCAAACACATGGCAGTGCATTTCAGCAGACACTGAGATTAATAGTGGGCCCTGCCGTAGGTCCTGTCATAAAATGGTGCTGGATTCCAAGCACAAGTTAATCTACATATTGGGCCGGTATTTGGATGTTAGAGCGCGAGTTAACATGGAGTTAAAGAGTGATTTCTATTGTTATGATATACAGTGTGATCAGTGGAACTTGATAAGTAGTGATACTGGATCAGAGTAAGTTGTTAAAAAGTACAGTTTATTTCTTGAAAAGTGAGTTTTGATGTGATTACTTTTTAGTCTTTTACACTTCATAGTTCTTTCAAGCAATCCCCAGAATAAATAATTTGTATCCTCTAGCTTAGATCATATTAAGACGTCTGATGTTTTTGGTTTTTACAGGAATAATGGATTTTGTTCTAGTACACATAAAAACAGTCCGGTGTGCAGTACTACTTAAAGGAGAAATATAAATTAATTTAATTAATTAATCATCTCAGGGGAGGTCCCAGCCTGATATACGATCATCAAATGGTCCTCGACTCAGACCTTCAGACTATCTACATTTTCGGTGGGAAAATACTGAACAACAGTGGAATTAGATCGGAAGCAGAATACAGCGGGTTGTACAAATACCACATTCCATCTAATGTGTGGACTGTACTAAAACCTGACAATGACCTCATGTTAAGGTTGGTTTTGTTTTTAAATATTTTATCCGAGTTGAATATTGTGATAAAAGCTGTAAATAATATAGTTGCACATAATATAAATGATATATAATGCAGTAAAATCAAGAATCAGATTGCTACAATCTCAATTTATCCTAGTTTATCCTATCAAAACAATGTTTTTTCCATGCAGACAGCTTGTAGCTAATATTTATAAGTAATTTCTACAATACTTAGATAGCTATCAAAAACAATTTTGTTAATTGGACAATAATTAGTCAACCAATAATTAATTAAACCAGGTCGAGATTCGGACATTCTATGCTGTACCATCCTGATAAAAAGCAACTGTTTATCTTTGCTGGACAGAGGGAGCACTTCCTTGATGATTTCCTTGTGTATAACACGCACAATGATACGGTAGAAGAGGTCATGTGCGTGGATGAGACCAAGGTGTGTTATCTAGATATTATTTTGATGTTATAGCTAGATATTATCTTGTTGGAAGTCTTTGCATATTATTTGTTATTGTGGAGCGAAATTTTTATTTTTATTTCATATTTAAATGTAAATATTGTCATGTCAGAGGTCTTACCAGATTATTTGTCATATAATGCGTTGCGAAATTTGATATTTTTATCTCTGAACGTATTAAATGTAGATATAAAACTTAAAACTGGTCAGTTTTAAAAGTGTAAATAAATATATAAAACTTTCTATACAGTCAATTTAAACGAGTCTCGAGTTACTCACTCAACACTTTAACGTCCGACCATAGCACGGTGAATCACGTGACGTCACGTCGCCCTACTTCCGAACCTGGTGCCCCTGAGATTATTTGCCGATGACAGCCAACTTCTTATTTAATAATCTTATTGTACTTCTTACTGTGTAAATTTGATTATATAAGACGATAATCTCACGACATTGAAGTGCGAATAATAAAGGCTTATCTCAAAAATGTCCGTCAAATAACCAGCATTTTGGGTCGCAATACAGTACAAAATTATGATGTTTTCCTAAAGAGAATCTGAGTTACAATGACCAAATACTTTTAACCTCCTCAAAAAAAATTATTCTGGCCAAAATGATTGGTCCTAGCGGTGTATATTTCAACGCGATATCACAGGTTCCAGACAGATTTGTAGTAGTGTTATTAGCTCATTATCTGATTAATTAATTATCTAATTATACACTACCACAGGTACCGGAGAGCGGGTTCACAATGCGCGCTACAATAGACACCCAGCACCAAGAGATTCACATGATGTCAGGTCTGAGCAAGGACCACAGGAACGGGAGTAAGGATTACACTGATGCTAAGACGAAGATATACGTGTATAGTTTGAAGAGGAACAAGTGGAATGAGGTAATTAATTGGGTAATTAGTTTACTAATTTTACAAGTTAATTAATTTATTAATCTAGTCTAATATAAGTTAGTAAAAATATAATTTTGTTCCAAAGTTAGCTTAGTTGAGTAAACTTAAAAAAATGAAGTTTTTAAGAATTAAGCAATTAATTAATTAATTAATTAATTAATTACGATTATAATGTAACAGTTAATTATTAGGTAGGAAAGAACGCAGGGTGTACAGAACCAGAACCGTGTCCCAGATTCGCTCACATGTTGGTTTACGACAGTAGGAAAAAACTACATTACATGTTTGGAGGTGCGTTTATTTTTATAGATACCAGTGGGGAGGTAAAACGTGACACGTGATAGTTACACGTGACAGTTACACGTGACAGTTACACGTGACAGTTACACGTGACAGTTACACGTGATAGTTACTAACCAATCAGCGCGCTGCAGCGTTTACTATTTCCAATTAAAACCTAGCATGACTGTCCATGTCATGACGTGTCGATTGTCGAAACAAAGGATATATAACCCAGAAAAGTTGCAACGGCAATAATATTTAGCATACTAGTTTACGGAGGAACCATGTATCTTACAGGTAATCCAGGAGCAGGTAATCCTATGGAACGTGGTACAGATATGGACAGGAGATTGGACGATTTCTGGTGTCTTCGGATAAAGAGGCCAGCCTTTGGAGATATGAAGCGGGCTCTTCAGTTCCTCGTGAGTTTATATTCATTCATGAGACCTTTAAACTTTTAGCGATAATATTCAAGTTTTTGTGGTACAATAGTTGAGTATGTTCATGTTATGTTAACTACTGACTGAATGGAAACCTACTACTGACTGAATGGAAACCTACTTTACTCTTCGGATTGGTAGAACCTGTCTGGTTACATGAACATTGGAGCTAGTTTTATATTAACTCACATGATATTATTGTCGACTTAGACTGCTTGGATGTATCACATCTCAACCATTGTTGGGTGTGTTACTTTGTTTTGGGCTTCACTTTTAAGCTTTATTGATTTTATCTATAAAATTGCATCTCCATTGATATTTATGTAACTCAAAAAACTTTTTCTACCAAAAACGTTTTTGATCGGGAATCGTCTTTAAATTATTTTGGGGAATATTTTGACTTGATATAACGACGTCGTCGTAATGACACAAGTGACTGATCAACCACCTTATTTGATAGTGTCTTTAAAAATAAAGTATTTATATTTTTAACTTGGGGTGTAAATATTTTTAGGGTTTTTGTTTTTTAAATTTCAGATCTTTCATACTATTTGTTACTAAAATGCTCATTGTAGCCTATAATATTTAGATTTTCATCATCATATGTTAAGTGTGTTTAATATGTTGTTGTAAGTATGTTGTGAAATATGGTCCCCTTATTTAATTATGTGATAGTGACATAACATGCGTAATAACTGAAACTACGTGCATGTTTCTTAGAATTCCAATATCCGGTCACAAATCTACGTATCTGCGTTCATATATCAGACTTCAGTGCAGTTTATAGATTCACTGTCTCAATCTTATTAACTACAATTACCGTTATGTTATTTGAAGTTGGTCCCTGAGATTGGCGGTGTATTATGTGTGTAATTTCTTGTGTAATTGTATTTATATGTTCTGATCGTCTTTCTCACCTCAGTAACATCTTTAAGTTAAACCCTTTAAAAGTAACACTGCTAAAGCGCTTTACAGCTTAAAATAGCTTATCTAAAGCAATTAAGTGATCAAATTGTAACGTGCGAGTGTGAGTTTCCCGTACCAACCGGACGATGAGGTAATAAACCGTTAAATGGATCAACTTTACTGGTGTAACGAATAACTAATATCGATATAAGTACAGTCAAACCTCTTTATACCGTGCGGGAACTGAACACGAGGGAGAAGGACATAATGCTAGAGCAGTACTTGCCAAAAAGGGAAGACATGAGGGAGTAGGACATAATGCTAGAGCGGTACTTGCCAAAAAGGGAAGACATGAGGGAGAAGGACATAATGCTAGAGCGGTACTTGCCAAAAAGGGAAGACATGAGGGAGTAGGACATAATGCTAGAGCGGTACTTGCCAAAAAGGGAGGACATGAGGGAGTAGGACATAATGCTAGAGCGGTACTTGCCAAAAAGGGAAGACATGAGGGAGTAGGACATAATGCTAGAGCGGTACTTGCCAAAAAGGGAAGACATGAGGGAGAAGGACATAATGCTAGAGCAGTACTTGCCAAAAAGGGAAGACATGAGGGAGAAGGACATAATGCTAGAGCAGTACTTGCCAAAAAGGGAAGACATGAGGGAGAAGGACATAATGCTAGAGCGGTACTTGCCAAAAAGGGAAGACATGAGGGAGAAGGACATAATGCTAGAGCGGTACTTGCCAAAAAGGGAGGACATGAGGGAGTAGGACATAATGCTAGAGCGGTACTTGCCAAAAAGGGAAGACATGAGGGAGTAGGACATAATGCTAGAGCGGTACTTGCCAAAAAGGGAGGACATGAGGGAGAAGGACATAATGCTAGAGCGGTACTTGCCAAAAAGGGAAGACATGAGGGAGAAGGACATAATGCTAGACCGGTACTTGCCAAAAAGGGAGGACATGAGGGAGAAGGACATAATGCTAGACCGGTACTTGCCAAAAAGGGAGGACATGAGGGAGTAGGACATAATGCTAGACCGGTACTTGCCAAAAAGGGAAGACATGAGGGAGTAGGACATAATGCTAGACCGGTACTTGCCAAAAAGGGAAGACATGAGGGAGTAGGACATAATGCTAGAGCGGTACTTGCCAAAAAGGGAGGACATGAGGGAGAAGGACATAATGCTAGACCGGTACTTGCCAAAAAGGGAAGACATGAGGGAGTAGGACATAATGCTAGACCGGTACTTGCCAAAAAGGGAAGACATGAGGGAGTAGGACATAATGCTAGAGCGGTACTTGCCAAAAAGGGAAGACATGAGGGAGTAGGACATAATGCTAGAGCGGTACTTGCCAAAAAGGGAGGACACGAGGGAGTAGGACATAATGCTAGAGCGGTACTTGCCAAAAAGGGAGGACACGAGGGCGGATCTCGTGATACTCACTTTAAAATGGACAGTGGACACGAGGGCGGAGGTCACGTGATACTCACTTTAACATGGACACGAGGGTGGAACTAAACACCGTTCTAAATAAAGAACCAGTAATAAACCCGTAACATCATAAAATTGTATTTAAACTTTTGTTTATATGCGTCAACTTACTTTAAAAACACATATAACACACATAACGCCGGCACGCACAGGGATGTCCTCACATACAGTTATGTGATCTGAGATAACAAGAAATCATGCACTCATTTATCCACAAACATTAAAAACTATATTTTGCCAGTAAAATCTTATTATAGATGAAATTAAATTGTTGTTAAATATAGCTATATACAGTATATATGTCAACAGTTAAAGGATAATATATATTAATTCATGTGTATTTAAGTAATTTGCCGCATATAAACAAAAGTTAAAATAAAATTGTATGATGTTACAAGTTTATTACTGGTTTTTTATTTAGGGCTGTGTTTGGTTTCGCCCTCGTGTCCACTGTCCATGTTAAAGTGAGTATCACGTGACCTCCTCCCTCGTGTCCTATACCCCTGGGGATTGGGATCAGGGGAACCTCTCTATAATGAGTTTTTTTTTCTATCCCAGAAACTTTACATTTCCCTGAGAGGCCCGGTATAGAGTCAGGTATACACTGGTATAGAGTCAGCGAGGTTTTACTGTTTTACTGTAGTGGAATCAATGAAAGGTGTTTAGAAAAGAGGAGCGGGAAATCAAACGGCCGAAATTCTTGTTGCACTTTCTTGTTGAATCGGTCAGAAAATCCGAATTGAAGTTAAAGCCAGAGTTCCCCTAAATATGTAAATTTTATTCCTCCTTGAACCTTTAAACTATAAATTTTTATGCCGGAAAATTTGAGGTTTTAACCATTTCTAAGTTTAACTGTAACCTCACCCTTCCCCCCAGGTAAGGAAGTTCAAGTTCCGAGATATGAGTCTACGAGATCCTGTTGGGGCACTCCTCTACCTCCAGCAACATGTTGAGGAGGTAAGCAGATTATATCTGTACTCGATTGAATCATCGATTTTATCATGAAATGTAATATGCATTGAAACGTCGCTTTAAATCTTACTGTAGAAACTAGAAATGCAGTAAGTTTTCGCGAGGGCCATCCAGGGCTTTCGCGTAACACGGGTAAAGAAAATAATTGATGTTTCCTCCCCCACCAACATGAACAGTCAAGTCTGCGTTGTTGAATGCTACTTGTAGCATTCAACAACGCAAACTTGATGTAAGAAATAAAAAGAGTAGTTAAGATAACCCAGTTCCAATATCCATTCTAATAATCACAAAGGCAGTTATCTATAATATCATCACACAATCCTCTAAAATATTCCAAATTCCTAACTGACCCCACCCCAGGTTGTTGACCACAGCAACAAAGAAGAAGAACACCAATTCCAGAAGCTGGTAGTCAGCGTGTTTGATAACAGTTCCCAGCGGGACACGTACACCATACGTACTGAACTGTTTGATGTGCTGATGGCCTACTTCCCTGAGAGCATGTCTCAGCCTAAAGATAATCTCACTGATTATGTCCCTCCTGTTTAATTACCAGGTAATTGGATGATAATTGAACAATAATTGATGTGTTATTGTTCGATGGATTCAATTCGTAATTAATTGATTGTTTATGTTTGTTTGATATTTGGTTCGATTAATTTCTTAATTTCAGGCAAAATAACAGATAATATTATTGCCAAAGAAGAAGACTTTGTGACGAACAGATGATTGTTGATGATGAGAGACTCTCCCTGGTATTAGTTAGCTTTAGGTGGTAATTAGCAGATCAATTAGCGCGGTAATTAGCAGATCAATTAGCATATCAATTAGCGTGGTAATTAGCAGGTAGATAAGATTAAAGATTGTAGTAAACTATTTAAATACCAGCTGTAGCCTGTAATGCACTGTACTATTGGCCGCAGAGCCACACTTTGACTTAAGTACTGATACCTCTCCAACAAGACCTGACAATTTTACAAGGCCAAAAGAGATAAAGCCTGAAGTAAGTTTGATAGCAGTGATACAGAGTTATTTATAACTAGGTAATGTAGCGTAATAATTCAGTAATATAATTCTTCGGAATTTCGCTGGATTGTACAACTTTCGTCTTGGTAGATTCCAAACACAAGGAAATTTTCCTTCTGGTTGGTAATATACTCAATGATGGAAGTATAGTGTATAGGCTATGCCCCGCTTACTAGTTTAGCTCTTACTAGTCCCCTGCTACACGGCATGTAAACAGGGATTGGCTAGTTAGAGGCGGTCCGTGTAGGCCTTACACTGTGCTTTCAGCAATACTCATAAAGTGAGATTATAGCGGGTTTTGGTGAGGGATTATATTACAGTTAATATTCTAGAGATAAGGACTTACTTTAGTTTTTAAACTGAAGTTAAAACTTCAGTCAAATACAATAACAACAATAAAACGGATATATACTTGAATATTATAGAAGTCTGCTGATTTTATTTTCATGTATTGAAAGTAGAAAGTATTATTAGGAAATACAATTTCGATGGTTTCTTAATTAAATGTTTCACTTAGAAATAGGGATCGCAGATATGCGTAATATTTCTATATGTTTCGAGGTTTTAGCTTCATACAATATTTATTGTTATATTTTGTGACGGGGTTTTATTAAATGCAATTAGCTTATGTGGTAGTTTGGCATTGTATTTGATATGAGTTATTTTAAGTTGTTTTGCTTGTAGATTTTATTTGAAAATGCTTGTAAGCTAAACCATTTTTTGTGCTTTATATACACCATATTAAAATGTTTTGCTTTATACACAATTGTTTTGAAACGTTGCACGGTGTTATCATGTGCTCTGGTTAAGTTATTAATTGGTTAATAGCCAATTAATTAGCTAATTAAAGAATTTTGAGGTAACATTTTATGCATAATTGATTTGTGCGATTTTTAGCTTTACAAGCGTTGATATATTCAGTTTATGTTTATTGTTGTTTAATTGTTTGCCGACCTGTTAGTCATTGTCATACCTAAAAAATTCATTCGCAAATTGTATTAATCGCACAATAAACATGTAGCATTTTTGACATTTTTGCGGCTTTTCTCTGAAGAATTTTTTATTTTTACAGCAAGCTCTATGTATCTTTTCATGTTGAACTGTAGTATATAATATTTATCTTAGTAAGGTAGTGGTACTACCACAGTAACAGATCACATTTAACTTTAAACATAAAACAGGCCGTTCCCACCTTAAAATCATGGTACCCGAACTTCTACCTCGTCCTAATCTAGTCGAGGCTTCCACTCGGGAGCGCGCGACCGCCAATCCTATATTATACGCGAAAAGTAAATCTGTTTTCGCGCAAAATTCTAAATTTGGCACATTTTCAAGAAATATAGCGTCACGCCGTTGTAGTATAGCGAGTGCTCAAGAGCAGTTTCTTACCAATCATTAAAAATATAAATATTTTGAAGTGTAGCTGAAATGTAACAATCGCCTAAATTCCGGGGTGCATCCACAACTACAGTAAGCCAATCTTGTGTGTGACTTACATAATCAATGTGATAGGATCGTGATGGCAAATGTACAAGTTAAATAATGAAGTCACATGAGTTGTAACAATAACTCATGTGGTTGCTGTTACTTCACTGCTAGTTCATTTGTTATCGTTATAATTGATCCACCTTTAAGCTCGTGTTTGTAACTGCGGTTACTTAATACTTAGTTTACAATGTTTTTAATTTCTTGTTAAAAATATTTGTGTTTAAAAAGTGTATCCCTAGTGTAAAATGTTTTCAGTACATGCTAACCCCAACTTATTTTTAGTATGGCATGGTTCCAGTGCACGTGATAAATTATGGGTCCACAGCCCCGAGCACGGACGTACCAAGAGATACTTGGCAATTTCGTCTCGGGGGCAACGGCGGGGGCTGTCGCTAAAACAACCATCGCACCACTTGATAGGGCCAAAATCGTATTTCAGGTGAGTTTAAAGTTTGCCTTGTTCCCCGTTTTCTGCCTTTGAATATTTAAATTTCAAAGTCTTGTTGTGTATTTTCTATTAGATTATTGTTTATTATCTCTGTTGATAATGTTAGCCTTTAACATATATTTTGGTTTGTTTTACCTTTACTCTCCAGGTATCTTCTAAAAGATCATTTTCATACCGAAAATGTGTCCAGTTTTTAGCGTCCACCGTTCGGGAAAATGGAGTCACCATGATGTGGAAAGGTAAAATTACATTTTCACAACTTAAGTAATTCTGAAGAGTTTTACTTTGGTATTTTGGGTGGCAGCTCGAGGTCCAGCTCGAAGTTTTAATGGCTAACATTTGAAATTGTGTAACTAACATACAACCTGATTTATTTCTCACCATTCTCCCAGTAAAATGTCTTTGAGCTTTACATTTTCTACACTGTAATATTCCAGTAATAACTAAATATAATAGTATAATAATGTAGTTAATAAAAATAACTAAATATAACTTTAGGTAACAGCGCCACGATGGTACGGATTGTACCCTATGCAGCAATAACTTACATGTCAAACGAATCTTACAAAGATTACTTCAAAAGAAAAGATCCAGACGGCAAACTGTCCCACGTATACCGGTTCTGTTCTGGCAGCATGGCTGGGTTAACCGCTAGTTTCTCCACCTACGGCCTCGAGGTATTTCCTCTCCTCTCAGTTTTTAGAGTTTTTGTTCTCAGCATGTTTTTGTCAATTTGTGAAAATATAAAATGTTGTTGTCTTATTTTCTCTGTGTTAAATACGTGATATCACACTGATTTAACAGGTTTTGAGGGCTAGAATGGCTGTTAAAAGCGAGTATGTTAGTATTTTACAGAGTCTGAAGTATATTCTGAAAACGGAAGGAGTCTCGTCTTTGTACAGGTAGGATCATCAATTATTAGAGAAAAGGAACATTTGCTTTATCTAACTATTTACAATTTCATAGTGCCGACTAGATACATATCTCTCATGAAGAAGACAGCATGATTATTTGATGGAATAATGTCGTATTGCTATTAAAGTAAATGTCTAAAAGTCATGGTTATCCAAAGGTTCGTAGTTTTAACATGTAAAGAAATGTAAAGAATGTAAAGAATGCACTGTTCAGGGGGCTAGCTCCAACACTGATAGGGGTCTCTGTGTACGGGGGGACCAGTTTCTACGTGTTCGGAACCTTGAAGAACATTAACCCTCTAAGTGAGTATCACAGCGCAGATCAGGTTGTTTTTCAGAAACACTCGAACAGTAAGTTGCCTGTGCTTGAGTTATGGGGTGGGGGAGCGAACTTTAACAGTTTATATAAATACAATCTTCTTTAAATAGAGTTATTTGATACTATGTACTACTATATTCTACAGTCTACATATGTTCAAAGTGTATAATATAGCAACTAGCCCTGTTAATTTGCCCTGAACCACCAAATAACCACCTCCCCCCGATTAGGTTCATCAGACGGTTTACTCACCGAGCACCGCCTCCTATACGGAGGGTTTGCAGGGCTGTGTGGTCAGAGTATTTCCTACCCTCTGGACGTAACACGGCGTCGTATGCAGACTGGCGGTATCAAGGGGGATCATCTGGAACGTTACAGCACTATGAGGTATGAGTTCAGTTTCTCTTTCACTTTCATTTCCCTACCTCTTTCACTTATCTTCATTTTCCTGTTACATGAACACATTTCCATTGATTTCCACTTTAATTTTGTACCCGAGCGCATCAGTAGTCAATATTTAAACATGTATAACTATTAACAAAACCTATTAATAACTTTCTACAGGGGTACACTGTCACACATTTACCAGAACGAAGGAATAAAGCGTGGTCTCTACAAAGGACTGAGCCTGAATTTCTTGAAGGGACCCCTAGCATCCAGCATCAGCTTCACCGTCTTCGACTACATGAACACTGTTATATCTGGCTACGAGTCGTATTAATGTAACCGCGGTATCGCCACAGCAACCATGGTAACCATGGTAACCGAAGTAACGCCACAGTAACCATGGTAACGCCACAGTAACCATGGTAACCACGTTAACGCCACAGTAACCAGGCACTGATTCTGATGACTAGATAATTTGTCAGTTGATCCAATTAGCGGGACGGCTTGATCGCCAGCTATTAACCGTTGTATTCATGTATTAATGTAGTAACCGTGGTTTCGCGTCGCGCCACTGTTATTAAGCCGCGCAATGGCTGCACGTGCAAACTGCAAGGGTGGGAGTAACGCCACGTTATTACTGTGCAATGGAAATAATTAACAGCAGCATAATTTACGATGCTCTATGATTTACAGTGCATAATTTAAGATGCGATATTACAGGTTTTAGTAAGTTGGATACGATGACTATGTTTTTCTTTTCAAGTAATGTTTCATATTGAAAGCCTTGTGGGGCGCCAAATTAAGTTGTTTTTATACGCTAAAGCAGAAAGAAATTGTTTGATATTAACTAATAGACATTTTTATCTGCTTCGTAAACATCGGGTTACAGATGGTACTGTTTTTATATTATGCGTTATTTGAGCAAGAATAGTCTAGAAAAAATAAACTTTACATCAGAAAATGTTACACTAGTTGGTATAGTAACCGATCTATGTTCATTAAAATGTATATTGTGTAATATCCTATTGAGGCTCTACTACTAAATAATACGAATTATGTTGAAGGAAGAAATTTTAGGAATGTTCGGATATTAAAGATTGAAAGTTGAAAGTTAGTGGAAACAAATGTTTGGATTTTAGTATGTTGGTGATTATTTATAATTATAAGCGATTTATTTTTATTTTTGTATGCATTTCCAGTTTCATCTTTAGACTCGAGCAAATCCTGTTGCGCTCAGTAGCTATTTTTACTTAGGTTTAATACTGTTGCTGCAACAGCCATAGCTAGAACCAGGTTCAGTTCTCGATCGCATCATAAAATGGACTTCAACTTTTTCCAGACCCTCGTAGTACCATTTTAAGAGATCTGAAAGCCATTTGATTGTTATTTTCGGTTAAATAATTGTACTGTTATATCGTAGTGCTCGTCGCACAATTCTGAAACTATACCATATCAAAGAGACTCGGAAAATGAGTTGAATGGAATTTTTTGAGTTTCGCTATTTATACCGAAAATGTTCGCTTTTGACTTAAATGAAGTGTCATACTCATGTCATGGCGTTTATGCTAAAGTAGTATACACTGAGATCTGTATCGTCGATAGTTAACTTATTGTGATTTTAATGTGATTGAAAGGAAGTGTTTCATTTGTTTGTGCAAAATATTGCTAGACGTCTACCTGCCCCTGCAGAGTGTTGTCAAAATCTTGCCGAACCAATTTACAACAAAATATTTGGAAATAATCGTTAATCATTTATATTAGAACAATTACAAAGTATTGGAAAACACAATTAGCGGAACAATATATCAACAAAATTCAGTCAGGAAGGGCTGTATTCATATTGATAATTTCCGTAGTCAGCCAACAAACATCAAAATAATTAATCACTAAATTAATTAAATAGACAACAGCACAAAACGGTTCTTATTTTCTACTTCAACACTAAAACTTGCATTGCGATCAATAAGTCTAAGTGTATAGCTCCATGACGTGAGCTGCATGAACAGCGAACAACCAAACAGGAAATCAATTCAGTTTCACCAGTTCCAAGTTCTGCGTATCATAAAATTAAAATTACATGATTCAGATTGCTCTATATACCAGATTGTCCATCGTTATTTGTTAATGGACTGACCCGGCTCCCGCTACTTCATAGCACTTGCCAGTGCCTCTGGTTTCGAAGAAATTAAAACTATCAGTATCATCCGTCAATAAACCCAATAAAATTAAAGCCCTCTCGCACGACCGCCATACGGCGGCCCGCGGCAAACAACAGCGTCACATAGTACGCGTAAGCACACGGTACGGGTAGGTGAAATTATAGGGGTCGTATTACGACCATGTGAGTTATGTTATGGCCCTATAAGGCCCATTATGCATTAGTCCCAAACAGTAATTACTTTAGGGCTTAGGCCCATTAAATCCCTGTAGTGTCACTATGATAATAATGTCCTCCGTTGAATGTGTGCGAGTGACTGTGCAGCTTCTGAATTGAGTCCATCTGGAAACCAGGGGAATTGTACGCGTCGCCAAGGTTACTAGATGCTGATTGGCTGCTCTGGGTCACGTGTGAAGAGTACAGCTCTGTGATTGGCTGGTTTGAGTGGTCGGGGGAGGGTGGGAGGAGGTAAGAGTCAGGTTGAGTTAGGTCTGGCTGAGGCATCTGGGATGTTTGGATTAGGATTAAAAATTATTAATGATATTGATAGCGATAATCGATGAACAAATTAGCAAATATTTAATATTTATATAGGAAAAATTGACGAACTGAAGCTGATAGTGATATGATTCAGATTGTGATCCAAATTCTGCTAATGGTTTACAAGAAAAGTGTGGTTAGTGATCTACCTGGGAGTGAATATCCACATAAGGACAGTTTTGGAAAGGTTTCATACCACCAGGCGAACCTAAACTCGTGTAGCTCTGATCAGCTGAAAGTGAAATTCAAATTTGTCAATAATGCAATGAAATAAATTTGGGGCTAAAAACAGCTTTAAACTATTTTCACAACTAAAATAAATTCATTTATTGTGTGTTATGGAATGTGATGGCTACGTTTTAACAAGGTATACTATAGCTAGTCCACGTCCTAGCTACACAAAGATGAAGTCTTTGTTTCAATAATTCTAAATGAAAAGCTTTAAAATCTCACCTAGGCTACAACTGGCAGGACTGGTAATTGACTCTGGGTAACCTTCAACTGATGACGTCACTTTTGATTCGCCAGTTTTATCGTACAAACATCTCTCCTCCATGTCTGAGTCGGAGTTTACTGACTGCTTATTCATCTTCCTCCGAGCCAGCTTCTTTACCTGTTTATTATTAGCGCTAAATTATTTTATTACATGGTTATTTATTAGAATTAGATTAAATAGTTTAACTAGATTGGAGGATATTTATCTAAATATTCAGTTTTTAGGCTTTTACCAACATTCCGACAAGTTGAACTTGTTCCCTGTTAAATTGCAGATAAGAAACCATCCATAGTACAGGTGAGACTTAAAGTTAATATACTGAGATGAGTGGCTAGTACGTAGTTAAGATAAAGGATCGTTCATATATTACGTAAGCCAGAGTTTGGTCATTTTAGACCTCTACTCAGCCACTTTACACATATTATTATTACATAGCTATTGAATATTGATATTGTACGGAAATTAAACTATTTTAACCTATTTTAAACCTCTCCCCGAAACTTGCTTACGTAACAATGTGTGAAATCTGCACGTATAGTCGTCATATCAGGGACAAAATGATTTCGCGATTATTTTGGCCAAAATTTTTAACAGACTATACATTAAACTATACATAAAATCTGTCGCAAATAATGGGAAAAATCGCGATTCCGTACATGCCGCGATTTCCTTTTGTCCCTGATAGTCGTTAACCTTTATTCTTTAAAACAGTTCTCCGCAATATTAAATCCGTTTAACTGCAAATTTAAACGTGCTAAGTCTAGACTGGTCCGATATGTCAAGATTATAACCACCATTTTATTATAAAGCATGATCAAAAGAGTTTGAGCAGCCAGCTCTTCTTAGATTCATGTGAAATTTTCTAACAGAGTAAGTGTAACGAAAACAAAATTCGGCCATGGCCATACTTAGGGCCGGGAAGACTTCTTATCTAGGCCGGACAAATTTGGGCTGTAAAGGTCTATTATTGTTCCTTCAACACGATCACGTGTCAAGATTATAGACATGATAGATTAAAGTATTAAATAGAAATAAACTTCGTGTGATGTTTTTCTTTCAATGGTCTTGGGAAGCAACTTCTAATTCTCATAGTCAAAGTCTCTTCAACATGGTCACATGGGTCATTGTCACATGATCACTAGTCGCGTGGGTTTTAAAGTTTTAAACTTGATGTATAGTTATACACAGGCACTAGCTGTAACTTAAACCAGCTCGTCAACTTTAAGACGTGCCTACTCCTTGTTACCTGGTTACCTTGTCACGTGATAGCCTGGTCAATGGTCACGTGTCACCTGTTTTTCATGTTTCTGTTTTTAAAATCCTGTAAGAGCTGTTCAGAGAACCAGTTCACGTCTAGATCCGACTAGACTTGACAGACTGCGTACCATTATGGTAACCATGGTGATTGGAGACGTTCATGTGGTTTTAGAGTTAAGAGTTGCTTTGAAGTTTAACACGTTCAACTAGGAAAGAGGTTGATTGCTTAGAGAGGTAGAGCAGGTCGCAGGAATGGATCTTGAAACTGATTTAGGGATCATCCGCATATACAATATAACGTAAGAAATTTGTTGGTATTTTGGACCCCTATACGTAAGTATATAATATATATATTATACAGTAGTTATAAGTAAATTATACTTATATATAAGTATAATTTACTTATAACTACTGTGAAGAAACCACACTAGTGCAAGCTTTTTCAAACCCTTTTCCTGCCCCTAATGCTGGCTATATCCCTTAACATTAAGAGTTAAACACGTTGAAATGGTTAGAAGGTTGTTAGGTATAAGAGAAACTAGAGAAGCTCCTTGGCGAGGGAGAAACTCTGCTACTATGGTTGCTATGGTTAGGGAGCTAGACAGAAAACACTGAACTTGTTAACTGGTTGGTTTGTACTTGGTAGGCAACCTTTTTTTAAAGTTTGGAAACTGATGGTTGCGAAATTGTGAATTTAATATTATGCTAGAGAATTAAATAGTAACAAACGACGTCTCGCAAATCAAAATGACAGACAATTCTGAAAATGAACACGGTTCCCAGCTGTTATACAATCACTAAACCAACCTTAGCTCTCTGATTCTGGAACCAGACTTGCACGACTCTGACGCTGAGACCAGTCTGTGAGGAGAGTTTCTCGCGTTCCTTACGGCAAGGTCGGGGAGTTCTGTCAAACGCTTCTTTAAATACTGGTGGATATTCAAGTTAGATTCGAGTTAGATTCAAGTTAGATTCAAGTTAGATTCAAGTTAGATTCAAGTTAGATTCAAGTTAGATTCAAGATAGATTCAAGTTAGATTCGAGTTAGATTCGAGTTATATTCAAGTTAGATTCAAGTTAGATTCAAGTTAGATTCAAGTTAGATTCAAGTTAGATTCGAGTTAGATTCAAGTTATATTAAAGTTAGATTCAAGTTAGATTCAAGTTAGATTCAAGTTAGATTCAAGTTAGATTCAAGTTAGATTCAAGTTAGATTCGAGTTAGATTCGAGTTAGATTCAAGTTATATTCAAGTTAGATTCAAGTTAGATTCGAGTTATATTCAAGTTAGATTCAAGTTAGATTCGAGTTAGATTCGAGTTAGATTCGAGTTATATTCAAGTTAGATTCAAGTTAGATTCAAGTTAGATTCAAGTTAGATTCAAGTTAGATTCAAGTTAGATTCAAGTTAGATTCAAGTTAGATTCAAGTTAGATTCAAGTTAGATTCAAGTTAGATTCGAGTTAGATTCAAGTTAGATTCAAGTTAGATTCGAGTTAGATTCAAGTTAGATTCAAGTTAGATTCAAGTTAGATTCAAGTTAGATTCGAGTTGGATTCAAGTTAGATTCAAGTTAGATTCAAGTTAGATTCAAGTTAGATTCGAGTTAGATTCAAGTTAGATTCAAGTTAGATTCAAGTTAGATTCAAGTTAGATTCAAGTTAGATTCGAGTTAGATTCGAGTTAGATTCAAGTTATATTCAAGTTAGATGCAAGTTAGATTCAAGTTAGATTCAAGTTATATTCAAGTTAGATTCAAGTTAGATTCAAGTTAGATTCGAGTTAGATTCAAGTTAGATTCAAGTTAGATTCAAGTTAGATTCAAGTTAGATTCGAGTTAGATTCAAGTTAGATTCAAGTTAGATTCAAGTTAGATTCAAGTTAGATTCAAGTTAGATTCAAGTTAGATTAAAGTTAGATTCAAGTTAGATTCAAGTTAGATTCAAGTTAGATTCAAGTTAGATTCAAGTTAGATTCAAGTTAGATTCAAGTTAGATTCAAGTTAGATTCAAGTTAGAATTAAGTTAGATTCAAATTAGATTCATTATAATAGGTTGGACTTTCTTGAGTTTCAAAAGCGTACATTGTACAGTATGCTTCTGCAAGATTTGACACCTTAGATGGGAAATAATGCAGGGAAAAAGTAGACGTAAAGATCTTAACAGGGGTAGTGCAGCCGTTTTCTGACAAAAATCCGAGGTTTTCCAGCACTTTTGACACATTTATAAAGCAATGAAAGGCATTAGTTTGGTCAAATCAAACGGAACATATGCTATCAGACTTTCAACTGACTATGGCAGGGTTATGACAACTTGTGGCATTCATTGATTGGTTCTAACAGTTTCGGATGGTTTTCAGGGATAGTTCTTGACCCAAAAAAAAGAAATTTGGGTTTAAGATGTCAGAATTCCAAAAATGGTCTTTAAGTACATTTGTCAGAAAACGGCAGAGTCAAATTCAATACAGTGTTATTGTTAAGAAAGGAAATTTATGCTAATTCTTTATTTTACTTGCGACGACAAGAAGAAAAAAACATAAAAATCGATTGATGATTGTCGTTTCCCCTTTAAAAATCCCAATTATTCTAGCAAAATATTTCCTTGTGTTTGATATCACCCACCTTTTCGCTGAACACTAGAGAGTACAGTGCGGGGTCTTTTAACCTCCCTTCTGTCCCTCCTACAAGTGGGGTCTACCCCCAGGTAGAAATGGTCTCGTAGCCCCTCGTCTGAGCAGCCTTTACATACCAAATCTCCGTTACCGTGCAAAACGTACTCGTCACCTGAAGTTGTAGTGGGGATTTTAGTGGGGATTTAAGTGGGGATTTTAGAGGGACTGGATGTTAGAGGGACGTTAGAGGGAATTTAGAGGGATGTTAGTGTGACTTTAGTGGGGAATTTAGAGGGATGTTAGAGGGAAGTTAGTGGGGAATTTAGAGGGATGTTAGTGGGACTTTAGTTGGATGTTATAGAGGGATGTTAGTGGGAATTTAGTTGGATTTTAGATGGATATTAGAGGGATGTTAGAGGGATGTTAGAGGGATGTTAGAGGAACTTTGGTTGGGAATTTAGAGGGATGTTAGTGGGACTTTAGTGGGGAATTTAGAGGGATGTTAGAGGGAAGTTAGTGGGGAATTTAGAGGGATGTTAGTGGGAATTTAGTTGGATGTTAGAGGGATGTTAGTGGGAATTTAGTGGGGAATTTAGAGGGATGTTAGAGGGAAGTTAGTGGGGAATTTAGAGGGATGTTAGAGGGAAGTTAGTGGGGAATTTAGTTGGATGTTAGAGGGATGTTAGAGGGAAGTTAGTGGGGAATTTAGAGGGATGTTAGAGGGAAGTTAGTGGGGAATTTAGAGGGATGTTAGAGGGAAGTTAGTGGGGAATTTAGAGGGATGTTAGAGGGAAGTTAGTGGGGAATTTAGAGGGATGTTAGAGGGAAGTTTGTGGGGAATTTAGAGGGATGTTAGAGGGAAGTTAGTGGGGAATTTAGAGGGATGTTAGAGGGAAGTTAGTGGGGAATTTAGAGGGGTGTTAGTGGGAATTTAGTGGGGAATTTAGAGGGATGTTAGAGGGAAGTTAGTGGGGAATTTAGAGGGATGTTAGTGGGAATTTAGTGGGGAATTTAGAGGGATGTTAGAGGGAAGTTAGTGGGGAATTTAGAGGGATGTTAGTGGGAATTTAGTTGGATGTTAGTTGGATGTTAGAGGGATGATAGTGGGAATTTAGTTGGATGTTAGAGGGGGTGTTAGTGGGATGTTAGTGGGACTCTGGAGAGGACTTTAGGTGTCTTTTAGTTATGCAGTGAGGTATTATGTTGTTATACATACAGTGGGGTTAAATAGAATAACAGACGTATAAAATCACAGAAAGTCAATTGTTAATGGTTCTCTCGAAAGACTGCTCAATTTAGTGGTCCAAGATTTTGACAAAACTATAAGATATGCTTATTTTATGCCATCGGCTATTCCAGAGTAATCAGACATTCCAATCATTTCTTTTATATTTCAAATTTCGTCCAGCCATTGCAAGTGATAAAAACATTCACAAAACATTTAAAGCCCTTTACTTAGTATACAAATACTACTTAGTATACAAATACTTGCGCCTTGCACCGCGGATACGCTATATTTGGTTGAGGTACAAATCACTAACCTTTTCTCAGAGAAGAACTACATCTAGAGCATGTAAAACATCTGATATGGTACAGTCTGCCATGCACTCTGTACACCAGGTCGTTAGCACTGATAGACGCACTACACATGCAACACGTGCTGGCGTCTAGTATCCTGGGGGACACGTGTTAGTTGTTAGAGGACACGTGTTAGTTGTTAATCACGTGTTAGTTGTTAATCACGTGTTAGTTGTTAATCACGTGTTAGTTGTTAATCACGTGTTAGTTGTTAGAGGACACGTGTTAGACTTAGTTGTTGATCCCGCCAATATGATACAGCAGAAAATAGTTTTAAACGGATGTTCAAATCAGAGTTCTTATCATCATATTATATTATGTCAAAAACGAATTTTCATTATTGAGCCTTGAGATTGATATACATTTTGCTGAGTTGTTGCTCATGAAAATATGAGACATTTTGTAGCGAAGATTGTAGTACAAGATGTTGATAAGTACTTAAGATTGTACATAACAAACAAGGATTGAGAGAGAGCGAGAGAGAGAGAGAGAGAGAGAGAGAGAGAGAGAGAGAGAGAGAGAGAGAGAGAGAGAGAGAGAGAGAGAGAGAGAGAGAGAGAGAGAGAGAGAGAGAGAGAGAGGGAGAGGGAGAGAGAGAGAGAGAGAGAGAGAGAGAGAGAGAGAGAGAGAGAGAGAGAGAGAGAGAGAGAGAGAGAGAGAGAGAGAGAGAGAGAGAGAGAGAGAGAGAGAGAGGGAGGGAGAGAGAGAGAGAGAGAGAGAGAGAGAGAGAGAGAGAGAGAGAGAGAGAGAGAGAGAGAGAGAGAGAGAGAGAGAGAGAGAGAGAGGGAGAGCATAACAAACAAGGATTGAGAGAGAGCGAGAGAGAGAGAGAGAGAGAGAGAGAGAGAGAGAGAGAGAGAGAGAGAGAGAGAGAGAGAGAGAGAGAGGGAGAGGGAGAGAGAGAGAGAGAGAGAGAGAGAGAGAGAGAGAGAGAGAGAGAGAGAGAGAGAGAGAGAGAGAGAGAGAGAGAGAGGGAGGGAGAGAGAGAGAGAGAGAGAGAGAGAGAGAGAGAGAGAGAGAGAGAGAGAGAGAGAGAGAGAGAGAGAGAGAGAGAGAGAGAGAGAGGGAGAGCATAACAAACAAGGATTGAGAGAGAGCGAGAGAGAGAGAGAGAGAGAGAGAGAGAGAGAGAGAGAGAGAGAGAGAGAGAGAGAGAGAGAGAGAGAGAGAGAGAGAGAGAGAGAGAGAGAGAGAGAGAGAGAGAGAGACAGAGAGAGAGAGAGAGAGAGAGAGAGAGAGAGAGAGAGAGAGAGAGAGAGAGAGATAGAGAGAGAGGGAGAGAGAGAGAGAGAGAGAGAGAGAGAGAGAGAGAGAGAGAGAGAGAGAGAGAGAGAGAGAGAGAGAGAGAGAGAGAGAGAGAGAGGAGAGAGAGAGAGAGAGAGAGAGAGAGAGAGAGAGAGAGAGAGAGAGAGAGAGAGAGAGAGAGAGAGAGAGAGAGAGCATAACAAACAAGGATTGGCAGTTTAACTTACCTCTGGTAATGGTCAGCTTTGCAGTATAGTCTCTGGTTTTTATCGAAGAAGCATGAGTCACTCAGCGGAACGTTACACAGGCAGCACCTGCAAGATTATCTTATAGTTTAAAACTAATTACTAATTAGTTTAAAATTAATTACTAATTAGTTTAAAATTAATTACTAATTAGTCACATTGTTTTAAATTAATTGCTAATTAGTTGATTGAGGACAATACAAAGGAATATAATATGTAATGTAGTCCCCAAAATCATACCATCATCAATCACATTATAAGCTTATAATAAGGCGATTTTTCCGAGACAGCTATTGGATGAATAATAAATAACACGACTATATCAAGTTAATTTTATACAATCGACACCATTCGTATTACATGATTGCCAATTATAATTAATTACCAATTATTAATTACTAATCAATAACCAATTATCAATTAATTGCCAATTATCAATTACCAAGTAATTACAAATCATTACCTGAGGCACTGTTCGTGCCAGAACACATCGTTCACTTTCATCAACAAACTCTCTTCAATCGGTAGCCTACAAGCGGTACAGACAGGGGACTTGGTAGTTGGAGGAACATTGCACATTACAAGGTCTGTAGCCTTGCATACCAGTGGTCTTGACACGTGGTCTAGCGGGCTGAGGGGAAAGGGTTAGTGGAAAAAGTTGGGTTTTTTAAAGCTTCTAGATCGTGAATTTTCTGTTTCCGCATTAGGAATTTTTATTATTTTTCGAGTATTTCAATCATCATTTTGTTAATAAGGTAAAATAACAAACCTTGGCACGTAATCTAAAGGTCTTGGCACGTGATAAAATAAAAACCTTGGCATGTAATAAAATAACAAACCTCGGCACGTCATAAAATAACAAACCTCGGCACGTCATAAAATAAAAACCTTGGCATGTAATAAAATAACAAACCTTGGCATGTAATAAAATAACAAACCTCGGCACGTCATAAAATAAAAACCTTGGCATGTAATAAAATAACAAACCTTGGCATGTAATAAAATAACAAACCTTGGCATGTAATAAAATAACAAACCTTGGCACGTGATCTAAAGGTCTTGGCACGTGATCTAAAGGTCTTGGCACGTGATCTAAAGGTCTTGGCACGTGATCTAGAAGGGGTCTAGGGACTTGGTCTGACTCTTCTTTTACTGTAGAGTGAACTGATGAGCTCTCCACCATGGTCCTTTGGGAGTGAGAAACGTTATTGAAATTGTAATTCAGAGTCTGGTATTAATTATGACGCCTTATCATCATTATAAATTTAGTTTGATGAAATGTAATTTAACGGTAACCTGAACGTAGATTTAACCAAAGACTTATTACAGTCAACAACCGCCTGCAATAAACAAAATCGCTTAGGTATACGACATCGAGGAAAATTTTCTCTAAAGTCTAATAGTTTAAAACCCAGCAAATTTCTTGTAGGATTATTCGAGCTCACTCAAAATTACGATTTAATTCTAATTGCCGAAAAGTATATAAAAATGTTTGATCATGATTAAGCGGTTATTTAGTCACATCGGGGGAAATGAAGGAAGGGATTTCTTAAACGTAATACCCAATAGGCTATACCATTTATAGCAACTAGAACATCTAGAATCAGTATCTAGTTGCTATAAATTGTAGAACTAAACCAGTCACCAGAAGTGATAAAGGATAAGAGAAAAATGTTGAACATTATATCGTGGAGAGAAGTCTGTATAAGAGTTACAATCTATAAAAGATGAACTGAGGTACACATTTTTCCGTATTTCTTCTTTACGGTAAAGACCGTCTCTCAGTGTCTGGCAATGTGACGGGAAATAAGCACTTTCCGGTCACGTGACTATGCACTCTGCAGAACTCTGGTGACTTGTAACCATGGTCACGTGACTATACACTATGCAGAACTCTGGTGACTTGTTACCATGGTCACGTGACTATGCACTCTGCAGAATTCTGGTGACTTGTAATCATGGTCTATGCACTCTGCAGAACTCTGGTAACTTGTAACAGTGTAACCATAGTCACGTGACTATGCACTCTGCAGACCTCTGGTGACTTGTAATCATGGTCACGTGACTATACACTATGCAGAACTCTGGTGACTTGTAATCATGGTCACGTGCAACTATAGTCATTACAATGTTGTAGACGGAGAGCTATGCAAGCTGTTGGGAAGATAGGATGGATAAACTAACTGGGCGCCGCTCAGTCGGTCATTCTGCCGAATCTCTATTCGGTGTTTATGAACATTATAATAGCCTGGGGTCCCCAAATAAGGATATACGGGAATAGTAATCTTCCTGTAAGTATGATTAAATTTTTGAGCTGTTAAAAATAAAAACGCAAAATAATACGTTACGACAACGAGATGCGCTGCGTGGCTGCCGAGCAAGTAGATTGAACTGAACTGAATAGTGAAGCATCTGAGAATCTTGGAGAGTTAAGCTATTTCTTTGGAATTAGTGTTTAGAAAGAGGTAGAGGAGGTTGCTGGAGGAATGACAGAGAGATCTCCTCTCTGTGGGGTGGTCACACAATGTGATGGCCCTGTTAAATCTTAACGAATCTCAACATAGGTCAAGGTGACATAGGTTATAGGTGGGAACCCTGAACCAGAAATTGCACCGAGATTATTTAACTGTAAACTGGGTAATTATTAAGTCCTTGCAGAGTTAACGGTAAACGGTTAACTTTTTTGGTACTCAAAGTTTTCGTTTGGAGTTGGCTTAAGCTTTAAAGATGTGTCTTCATCGTATCAGTGACACCCGTGGTTTCAGAATGTATGCTAAGAATGTATGTCTTGGTCTCAGAATGTATACTAATAATGTATGCCTTATGGTCTCAGAATCTATGCTATAGAATGTATATTTTGGTCCAAGAACGTTAAACTGTTAAAGAATCTTCGGTATGTTCTGTAAGTAACATCAACGACAAATCAACCTGATATAGTGACAAAAACAAGTTCTGAATGTCATGTAAATGGTAAACCTGGACTAGCCATTGTAAGGTCTTGATACCAACGAAATTTTACAAGGACTATCAAAAAATTTGTTTCGAAAAATAACCCTACACTGCTACTACAACTACCCCATAAGCAGGGGGAGTCAGTAACAAATTTACCTCAAAAAATGAGATTCACCAAAATTTGTGGCTAACATAACGGCTCTAAAATCTGCGTGACGGATTTGAGTTTCAGGAAACCTGTCCAAAAGGTTTTTGAGTCGACAACCCAGCAGTGTCACTGACTCACACCAACCAATCAGAGCACAGCTCCCACCCAACTGACCAATCAGAGAGGGGAAAAGCGCCCACGGGACTCGTAATAGGGGCTTTGTGACAAATCATCTGAGAAGCTTTTAACCTGTCCACAGTTGAAGGGAGATTCGCGTGCTGGGATAGTCACGTGATCTGTGTCAGCTCTGCGCGTGTTGCTCATGCGTTGCCAAGCAACCGCTAAAAGCTAAGTGGGTGTCATGGCGGGCAAGAGAGGGAGAGATGGAGCTGGAGAGGGCGAGCGAATTCTGTGTCCAACGAGCTAGAGTTAACTACCAGTATTTATATTTTCACTGACCATTTTATTGAGTAGGTCCGTGAGTGGAGAGTTGATTGCTCTGAGATGAAGAGAAAATGTGAATAGTTAGCTTAAAGTGCGAGGGTTTTTTGGAATCGAAGTTATAAATGGTGTGTCAAAACATTCTCGGTATTTTCGTCGCAATGATGATGTCAAAAAGTCCTGATGACACGAAGTATGACGAGTATGTCTGAGGCAGGAAGTTAGTTAACATACATTTTGATTTAACATTTTGACAGATTAAGTTTAGCGGAAATGAATCGCAAGTACTGGCAGTGGTACTGGCAGTGATTATTTAGTATTAATAAACTGCAGTTACTTGAAAAATAGCTGATAACGCAGTTTATTGTCAATTGTGAAATGATTTTGACCTATTTAAAAAATAATTCGTTCTTAAACATTTCGACTTTCGAATAATGATTGAGTCAACTTTGCTTTATTCTACTTTTAGTTTTATAGTCTTAAAATGTGATCAAGAAATATTACAAAAAAGCAGCGAAAATTAACAAATATATGTCAGTTCGTTATTGGAAGCTCATTGAATGATGACTCAGACTCATCGTCCGTTTACACGTTAAAATTGATTCACGGTTACATTTTTTGCCGGTCATATTTTATGGTTTAGGTTCAGCTAAAATTCTCCTTGGCATTTCGAAAAGTTTTATTTACAATGAACTTTGATGTCATTGCCATAGAGCATCATAGAGCAGGAATGAATAAAAATTCCGTACCTGCAAATATTTTCCCAATATTTGTTGCCCTGGGCGAAAAAGTATTCACTGTATAATTGAGTATATAAATAAATCAATTTTGAGTCTACCAATGGAATGAACTACAAATTAAAATCAACAGAAACATACAACTTTAATTGCTACACGTTGAATACCTCTAATCTTTTCTTAGAAAACTAGAGGTATACACATGCAGCGTGTGTCAAAACTTTACCAGTATTCTTATTTTTGTCCTTTGCCGGCCCATGAGAACATTATAATTATTAATTTGTGCTTTTGATCCTTTTGATCTTAACAATAATTATTTCTGTTACAGTACTGGCTTCATTTTGGATTTGAGAAACATATCAAGAGTATTATAACTTTAGTTGACCATGATGCATGGCAAACTGTAATAGTAATAAATATAAATAATAAGGTACTGGTATAACATTGGACATGAATCTGAGTGATAATGATATGGCCTCTGGTCACTGGTCAGGTATTCGAAGCCAAACGAAGGATCAAGAAATAAAGAAATTAACGAAACTGATTAAATAATCTTTGAGATGTTTCACCTAGGAGGATCATAAACAGTTTTGCTGTCGGGTGGTGTTTTATTGTAAACGATTTGGAGCATAACCAAAACCGTTTAGTTATATTCATAACTTAACGGTTTTGGTATGAAGCATAATTTCATATGCACAGGGAAAAACGTACTAGGATTTGTCTCAGGGCCCAGGCCCATTATGATAAAACCGCATAAAATATTTACGCCAAAATTTGAAATTATCAACAATAAAAAAATCGTGTTCAGTAATGAGTAAACTGCCAAGCCAAACGAAGGATCAAGAAATAACGAAGTTAACAAAACTGCTTAACCTCCTCAGTCCTCAACTCTTAAACCTCATTAAATGCCGCCAACCCCGCTCAGATCGGTCGTACAGTTCGCTACAAGGACTACTACTACTAAAAGGACTCGCTACAAGGACTACAGTAAAAACATGCTCTCCATCTGTAAACTAGTTTAACTGAGCTAAAAACGCGGCTGTAAAATTAAAAACGGTCGTTAAATTAAATTTAGACTCGAATTTTAAGTGAACGTTCTGAATTACCGCTTAACCTTCCCTAATTGTTGATGTATGAAGTCAGACGTTTTACTTTTAAAATAGTTGCAAATAAAATAATGTCTCATACTTACAAATCCTCATATGTCAGACCTGTAGTTTGTTTTACTACTAAAGTACTAAGAGTCTAGCGAACTCTATCCACAGGTTAGTCAGGCAGTGGCTCACACCGCCTCACACTCTGAATCTGATAACATCTCTCTCACACTACCTAGTTGAGTGTGTACCACAACCTAGCACCCTGCCTAAACCGAAACGTTTGGAACTCCCGGACCTATGTGGCAAGCCTGCTCCCTGAACAAGACAAAAAAAAGAAGAAAAAACTAAAAAGGACGAAGACTAGTAAGACTGTCCAAGTGATAGACTACTATAATTATAAACTGAACATTCCCAGTCCAAAAACCTTGTAGCAATCACAAAATTATGCGTTCTTAACTATTTAAAGTTAACGTTCCACTTCCCCTAACTGTTGATCTGAGAGGTCAGACGTTATCGAAGCTAACTATAACTATAAGTAACTAGTGCACATACTGATAGTATACTTGACTCCAGCCGTCAAGTAGTAATGGTAATAGTGAATATCTTGGATAAACTATAAATTACGGGGCGGCGCTCAGCTTGTCATTCCGCCGAATCTCTATTCTCTAGACTCTATGTTTATGAACATTATAGCCTTGGGTGATCCCCATGTAAACTATAACGGACCTTCATAACAGTTTAAAATCAACCTCTAAATACCATCGTAAAACAACTAACGTTTGTCCACTATATCATTTTTATAGCTGTTTAATTTTAAAGCAATATTTATACAAAACTCGAGAGGGGAGACACATGAGGTCATTCTAATTCTGAAGGTTTGTAAAAATTGACCAAGATCATCGATCCGGGATGATCGCTTCTGACTCTATTCTCAATGTTTTTGAACAGTATAGCCTTGGGTCCCCAGGTAAACTATAACGGACCTTCATAACAGTTTAAAATCAACCTCTAAATACCATCGTAAAACAACTAACGTTTGTTCACTGTATCATTTTTATAGCTGTTTAAAGCAGTATTTATACAAAACTCGAGAGGGGTGACACATGGTCATGAGGTCATTCTAATTCTGGAGGTTTGTAAAAATTGACCAAGATTATCGATCCGGGATGATCGCTTCTAGTGGTCATTCAATTATATTGCAAGTCACTGTGAGTGGTCGGTATATCACGCCAGGGTAGTGGGTACTAATAGTAATACTAATAGTAATACTAATAGTAATACTAATAGTAATACTACCTATGGCTAGCCTATACTTATAGATCAGGCTAATTGTCTGCCGTGGCTAAACCCGGCGGCGGCGGCGTGGACCCGAAACCTACCGGCGGCGGCGTACGCCGGCGTGAGATCGACCCTAAAAGACAAAAATTTGGTCTAATATCGTGCTTTTTCCCCGACAATTTGAGTAAATTTGAGCTGTGCACAAATTTGATTTTAATGCTAATGCTATATGCTATAGATTCTTTCAGATTTAGTTATAAACGGTTTTGTTTAAATAATCTTTGAGATGTTTCACCTAGGAGGATCATAAACAGTTTTGCTGTCGGGTGGTGTTTTATTTTAAACGGTTTGGAGCTGCTCAAAAGTGAACTACTGGTCTATACTACTTTTTTATAAGTACGGTCTGCTGGTCGCGACATGCGTTCATTTTACTAAAACTATAGTAACAAAGTTGCTTTATAGGTCCAAAATAGTTTGTAATATGTTGTGACTGTGGGTTAGACGTTCCAATAAACGTAGAGACAAACGTAAAATTGAGGAAATTATAATACCACAAAAGAGTGACTATCAAAAAATATGACGTACAGGTTGAGTTAGGTATGCGGAGCCGATGTACAATGTAACAACTTGCCCCCTAACTACAGAGAATCTACCAACTTAGAGGCGGTTATGATAATGAAGATAAACCGATTCTCTGCCGAATACAAAGACACGACATCGATTAAAACACGTGTGATTGTGACGAATCATGAATATTAAAGGGTATAACTATAAGTAGGGGTGGGTGCATAGTATGGAGTCAGATATCGGCCACTGTTTCTGGTAGTATCAAGGAGGAATGTGCTTGAACAAATGAACTGTGTCTAAACTGAGAGTGAAGGTCTGCGAAGGAGGAAACCAGAAAATCGGCACAAAATTCCCAATAAGCCCTTAATAAATTCTCTTCGAGCAACGAACCAACTAGATAACGATCGTTTAACACTTTATTGGGCCTCAAGTACCGAATATTACGGCAGGTAAACGAGTACAAATCCCATGTGACGCAGATCACGTGCGTTTCAATACGTCACGTGACCTGGGAAACTTCCCATGCAGTGCACGTGCGCGCGGCTCAACAAATCGTGCATTGTTAGGAGTTCCGGAGGACTGAATCCAGACCGTTTTCCTTCTCGAGACGCCTCGACCAGCACTACACCCCTCTATTGGAATAACCACGTGACTTTGTAAGTGATGTCACGTGACATAAAGATTTCGCACCATTGGAGGAAGTGTCCGTCATATGAAAGTAGCAGTGAGAAAATATGTGATCACGTGGTGGCCATGGAAACAGAGCAGAGCAGACAAATACGTTGTTTTTATCCTGCAGGCAAATTGACATCCGGCTGCTCGAAGAGAGAGATCAGAGAGAGAGAGAGGGTCCTGTGTTTGCAGTCCGTCAAACAATCCGTCAAACAATTGGTGTACTGCTACAGGCGGGGAGCAGTTCATTGGGAGGGGTAAACATGTTACAGTCACTATAACAGTAGGATACAAGGATACAAGGATACAAGGATACAAAAGTGATAATTATTTTATTGAATTCATACACAGTATATAATAGGTGTATCTTTTAAGTTAGCTTATTATTCAGAGGCCTAGGTCGGGAGAGGTCGGAAGTTGCAAAGAGTTGGAGAGAAAAGAGCCGCGGTAAATCGGGGATTTGATTGTTCGAATTATGAAGGATGGCTGTAAATCGAGATACTGTATTTGAAACTGTGGACTAATACGAACGAATACTAGGTTATAATAAGATAGATATCTCCAACCTCCATCCACCAGAATGATTGTCAAATAGCCATGAACTCCCCAAATCATAATAATGTGTTATTTCACTGAACTAAAAATTTCTTAGTATAAAATAATTTAGTACGTCCTTCAGAATAATCTTTCGAGTCATGTCAGCATCCAACTCACAACTATGTACATATAAATATATAACTATAAAACGCATCATTGAATGCCAGTATCCCTCGTTTTAGTTTCGTGAAGGTCGGTAAGGAATCGTATAAACGACAAATGAAGTGTTTAACTTTTTATGTGAAATTAAGAGTTAGGTTAAGTTATCAGACTAAAGACTTTCATAAAGACCAGACGGACTTTTTCGGAAATCCTAGCTTAATCACAGGAATCGTTACCGATTCCTGTGAGATTCCAAGAAATCGACCTAACCATTAAGGTTTATACCATTTTTTCTGGAATATAATACAGAAGTTTGCTGATAGTACAGAGTATGACCAGTGATAGATTTTAAGAACCCCTACAAGCTGAAGCATCTAGATTATATATATTTTATTATATAGCAGAACTAGATTTAAATTCAAGAACGTTCCATCTTCAACATTGAATCTTGACAGCTATAAAACAACTTGTAAGCTTATAATTGTGAGATCGGTCACTGTGTAGCACTAGCAGAATAGGCAATGGCATTTCAAACACAAGGAAAATCTTCTTTTTTTAAGTATTATTATTATAGGCCAAAACAATCTCGTTATGATCATCAGTTGATTGACGATGTCAATCCGTCGAGATCGTTGCTCTGCGAAGCAGAGCAACGATCGTCGATGCGAAGCAAGAATGTTAGTTCGCGCGGCGCGGCGAAGTCCTCCAAGATCATCAGAAACAGATGAAAAACACTTATAAATCAAGAGGCTTGCATATAATGAACATATTGACACGGGTGCAGAGTTGAGTCTGTACGGAACCTAGTAGTTTCAGATCCTTGTTTAACTTGCCGTACAGCAAGGTCATCCACTACTTTAGCCCGGCGAGGCACATAACTAACAGAAGTTACCAAAACCGTTCATCTAAACCCACATCCAGAAAGTTTCATATTTCCTCCCAGATGCGTTTTTTCTAAATTCTGTGGCCCACTCGCTTCGCTCGCAAGTTTGCCTTTTTTTCTGTGGCCCGCTCGTTTCGCTCGGATTTTTCTTTTGGGGGGCTGTCGGCGAGCGAAGCGAGCCGACGCGTCCAATCCACTTCCAGCTGCACAGCGAGCAAGCTGTGGCAGGGGTCTGGGGGCGCAGCCCCCAGCGGGGTCCAGGGCGGAGCCCCTTAGCGGGGGCTAGGAGGGCGCAAATTTTTGCGAAATAGGGTGTTTTAGACGAAATTTGGCATTAAAGAAATTTGTAGGACAGCAATAAACTGGGATTGAAAAGAATCAAGTACTCACGTAAATTTGGTAACTTCACAACAGCAATCTGCATTATCCAATCAGAATATTTCACTGTGTTCCAAAACTGACAGGATGTTCCTCTTTGATTTTTCCCATTTTTATACAATCGAAACATTTTCTTCAAAAATTTCCTCAATTAATTTGTCTTTATTCCAAAAAAATATTTCAAAATTTAGGAGTAACTTCTCAAAAATTTCCTCTTTTTCCTCTCGTTTTTTTCCTCCCAAAAAAAATTTCCTCCCAGGCTGCCTGGCAAGATGGCGTGTTTCTGGATGTGGGCATCTAAACGAACGGACACAATACATGATTGTCTCCCGTGGAGGTACCCGATAAAATAATAGCTGCTCCGTGTGCGACAGGTCAAACGTAGTAAGACAAGTTCTGGAACAAGTGTAGGTTGTACTTGTACGTGAGAATACAATTTCAAATTCTCAAATTTAGTATAACTGCAACTATAAAAAATAAACAGATTAACAATTGTTGGTATTTGAGATCGGCACAGTTCTGCACTGATTCCCAATCAAAATACTCATAAAAATGATCATAAAAGGGGGTTTCCATTTTGAAGGGATCTCAATTTCCTATTTTAAATCTACACACTATATTACTACTATATTAATATAACAGATAAGTTCGGACTACAGAAATCAGAATATGTCGACTGGTTCCCGATTTATGTCGTTCATTCGGCCTGGAGTTTCAAGCCGATAATTAGTAGCTCAGTACACACCGGATTATGTAGTTAATTAACAAGTGGGACTAGTTAAGTGGGTGTTATAATGTATAATATACAATAATGTATACTAAAATCTTATAAAATAATGAAACTCAAAACCTAAACTCTTACCTTAAATCTCTCTGGACAAAACTGCTGTTGTAGGCTCTGAAATCCGGGAACTTCCTCTTACAGCTCTCCGTCATACCATCGTGCAAACTCGTCAAAAAATTCATGATCATGTCTCCTGCAGATCTCCAGCAAAAGAAAAAGAAAGAAACCTGCAAATGATTCCCAAAGTTTAAAAATAAAACAATAAAAAATATATTGCAGTGGGACAGGGGCGGCGGCATAGACTAACTAGATAAGTTATTAGTGATTACGAAACCCAGTAGCACGTACCGTTACTTGACAGTATATTAATATAAGGTAATATCTTACGCCAAATCTAAAATTACCAAAGTCACCGTCTTGTTTTCTTTTCAGCACGAGGATGTTGTTAAGAAGGAGTGGTAAATGGTAATTAAAACAATTATGTGAGACAATAGTTCAAGTCATGGTTCCGCCCAAACCTTCATATCATGTTGAAGCCATAATAACTAATGCAAAAAAGGTGCAGAAGTAAAATTTGTTTGACATTTGGCTAGCTTTAGCTAAATGATACCACAACCAGTATGTGGTTTTTTGGGTATAAGCGGGACTGCAACTGGAAGCTTAGCCTAAAAAGCGGAGGCCCTAAAAAAGGTAGTTTTTTAGTTCTGTCTAAAATTACATCACTGGTTAAACTTAATTAAAAGTGATAGTATCAGGGTATTTTTGTCGTATCTGGTACGAGGTTTTAGCTCGGTACCAGAACATGGTACCCCGCCCCGCCTAGTGATGTTTACATTACTGATACTGCTAGACTGCTTAATCTCTTAATGTTTATAACATGTTTAATATTTAGGTCTCGCGCAGGCGCGTGATATACTTATAAATAACTTAAATAAAAAGCCGCGCCTGCTTGAGACCTTATTCCTGCGTGAGACCTAAGTTCTAGTTACTCAACCCTTGTCAAAGTAAACGTTCTTGTTTCATCTAGTTTACAAAATTCAAATATACAAAATAGTGAAATTATAATACAGGGTGTTTCAAGACTCGTGTCCAAATTTGAAGATATAATTTTTCTATTTTATGAAGGAGCAAATTAAATTAAATCGGTTTGGGAATGCTTGTTAGGTCTTACATTTTAATTATTTCTTGCAAAATTGTGTCAAAACCCATTTTTTCATAATTTTGCAATCTTTTGAAATTTTTCGAAGAAAATTTCAAAATTTGCCCTATCAAACGTGAAGAGAGTAGACATCGTCTAGCTTCTCTGTGTCAATGGAAGCAGTTGGACGGCTGCTAGGAGTGCACTTCCGAAGAAATACGGAAAATCAGGCAGAAAAATTCATCCCAAGACTATTCAACGACAGGTGACGAAATTTGAGACTGTGGAAGGTCCAAAGACCAGGGAAAAGGTGACTGTTTGGATGGGTCTCAGGAACCATGGTGTCTTCGGATCCCGCTTTTTCGAGAATAAAGATGAGATGGCAGGCACGATAAGGACGTCCAATGATTCGTTATGTTGCGTGGGAAAGTTATCCGAGTCCTCAAAAGAAAAAAAACATAATTCCTGTATTTTCCAATAAGACAGACCCCTCCTCACTACTCTCAAAAAAGTTTGGGTTGGCTGAGGGAGCATTTTGGAAAAATACTGATGTCAGGGAAAGCAGACTTCAGCTGGCCTCCTTACAGCCCTGACCTGAATCCGGCTGATTTCTTTTTAGGGGTTATCTTATAGATCGTGTTTATTCAGGTAATGTAACAATTTATCTATAATTTAAAACAAAAATCGAACTGTTTGACCTATTTGTTAGATTTTAAGGGCCTTTCAAAATTTGGACACGAGTCTTGAAACACCCTGTATGTTTGCCTCTCTCTGACAAGATAACATGACTAGAATACCGTAACATCAACCATAGTAACAACAGATCACACACCTAATGCAATAAAACACCGATGTATCGCGGAGTTAAGATACAGCTGCAGTATACCGAGTCCGTGGTAAATAACGACTCCGTGGTAAATTGGGGTATTTATTCTCTACATGTTTGTTGTGGAAGGAAATTTGGGCAGGAAATAGCTGTGATAAATCGGGTTCACGGTTAGTCGTGGCACGGTAAATCGGCATTTTACTGTACTAGTAAACAGGGGATCATTATTTAATTGATAATAAATCAATTAATTAATACACACGCTTTAAGAAAAGATTTATAACCCCTCAAAATACAAAGATCACTTATAAGATACTACCTTAAATTATCAATATTTATATTCGACCTGGAATCAAATTCAAATCATCGCTTTATTTATTCAGATGATATTATAAAGTTTTGCAATTTCAATAGTCTACCAGTTTACGGAAAGACAACTTCTGAAATCACTTTAATTTTATTAGAAATTCAGCTCATGTAAAAGAGTTAAAAAAGTCCAAGCTAAAATCTTACGATATAATATGTTCCCTCTATAAAGATAATTCGGGATTACATGGTTACTCAACCTCAATGGTTTTGTGTGTGCAATTTTCTGGGTCTTCAAATTAACACTGAACAACCACTTGAAAATGCATATTATTCATTCCAATCGTATAGATGTTCATTTCGATCGTATTAAAGCAACAAAGTTTTCATTGTGCAACTTTACAGTTTACATACTGATACTGAATAGTGAAAGCAGTTCTGACGTCACTCGATGGAGCTAAGCATTGAACAGCTGATCCCCAAATCACGCGTGTTAAAGGGAGGAAAGGGAGGAAAAAACTCAACAAAACATCGAGTTAAAGAATTAGTTAACAAACTCAAAGTTCTCACCTACTACAAGAACATTACGATAACTAATTCCTATTTCTGACACAATCCTTTGCACCGATCGTTAAACTCTACTCATGGTAGCAAGAAGTATTATCATATGCGCGGCGCTATCCGCACGTGGTAGCAAGAAGTATTATCATATGCGCGGCGCTACCCACACAACAGCGCAGCACGCTAGTCTCCCGAATCCCAAGAGTGGCTCTGCTACGAGATGGTCCTATACTTCCATATTCCCTTATCATATCCGGTTTGTACGTCTTTTAGCAGGACTATACGTCGCTTTTCGCAGTACGCTGCCCGGTTGTTTAACTGAAACGAAGTCACAGTGTTAAACTGCGATCGAAACATTTATGAGATGTCTTTCAATTAAAGTCATTAAGCTACCCAGGCAATTTGCAAAAAAATTATAGAAACAAAGGCCAAGGTGTGAAACTGATATGGTCAAAATGAGGACTCGTCTTAAATTCTGACTATAATTTAGTCTTTATGGTCAACGCTAATATAATCCGAACGTCTAATATAATCCGACCCGCGCTTGATCTTGCCACAAAGACATTATGCAGATTGCGGTATTATCTGGTGCGCCATACCCCATACAGCCTGCGCGCATTTGGTTCACTTCTATCTCGCATTCGTGAGAGAGACGAACCATAGACCAGCAAACTGGGTAAGCTGTAGCAATGTAACAACTATGAAAAACAATGAAAACAAGGTTACAAGGTTCACGAACCTTCATTTTCAAGTCAAGTAACTCATCCTCACTTCGTGGCAAACTCTGGTCATCTAACAAACCTGGAATTGGGAAGAACTGACGCTGAGATTTATGAGAACTTGATTTTAGATTAAAATGAGATTAAGTGACATTCAGCCTTCTCTTAGTTTCACTTTTAATTTATCTACTTAGATCTTTTAAGTTATTAATACTGACATCCATTCTGGAATCTGTATCACTTTCTCTTTCACTATGGCAGACACCTCACCTGATAATAGTTCGGTATTGTGTTCCAAATCTTTCTGATTCTCCTCAAAGATAACGGTCTGGGGCGACCGTACCAGGTAGTACGCCAGGATGTAAGAATATTGTAACATTGTTCTGCACTTTGTCTGTGGACATCAGGGTATGAGTGTGGTATTTTGTTGAAAAAGTCTCGTATTTTAAAACTGATTATCAACTTAAAAAGTACGTTATCAACTGATAAAGTACGTAATAAACTAGTAAATTACGAAATTTTTCGGCATTTCGCTGGTTAAAACCAAATCAACAGCAATTAACCAATTAATTAACAAATCCATCAACAAATCCATCAATAAATTACACACCAGAATGTTGAGGGATTCCTTCAAAAACTGGGCCTCAATCCAAGTAACGTTAAGTTTATCCTGGATGTATTCAGATTTAGTCTGTGTGAACATTACCAGTCCCCCCTGTTCTAGCTCTCTGCTTCTTTTGTGTGTCCAGTATCTGTGTGATGACTAATGAGTATATAGTGGTACCATTATCAATAATAGTGAGTTGGGGTCGTTTAAACATTACGTAGGCCAGCCAATGGGGACTGGGTAAAATGACTTACAGAGGAAGGGGATCTAAAACGATAAATATCTGGCCTAGGTAAGGAGTGGACAATCTCTTTACTTGATAATAAAGGACTATAAATAAGCAATTATTTACAACACAGCTTCCAAATTAATATGGATAAAGTGAAGAGAAGCAAAACATCAAACCTGTCGTAGTAATGATGATACCGTTCCATCGCTTTTCTCTCTTTAGACAACATTGCAATGTGATCCGCATCCTCAACATACTTATTACACGAAAACCAGTCACTTCCATGTGGAGCCTCCAAATCTTTCTGATTCTCCGCAAAGATAACGGTCTGGGGCGCCCGTACCAGGTAGTACTCCAGGAGTAAGAATATGTAACATTGTTTCTGCACTTGTCTGTGTACATCAGGGTATATGATGGGGTTATTTTGTTGAAAAAGTCTCGTATTTTTAAAACAGATTATCACCTTAAAAAGTACGTTATCACTGATAAGTACGTAATAAACCTAGTAAATTACGAATTTTTCGGATTTAGCCTGGTTATAAACCATATCAACAGCAATTAACCAATTAATTAACAAATCCATCACAAATCCATCAATAAATTACACACCAGAATGTTGAGGGATTCCTTCAAAACTGGCCTTCAATCCAAGTAACGTTAAGTTTATCCTGGATGTATTCAGATTTTAGTCTGTGTGACATTACCATTCCCCCCTGTTCTAGCTCTCTGCTTCTTTTGTTGTCCAGTATCTGTGTAAATAGTGTGGTTAGCGATGACTAATGAGTAAATAGTGGTTACCATTATCAATATAGTGAGTTGGGGTCGTTTAAAACATTACGTAGGCCAGCCAATATAGGGTACACTGGGTAAAATGACTTACAGAGGCCGGCAGGGGGAGTCTAAACGATAAATATCTGGCCTAGGTAAGGATGGACCATCTCTTTACTTGATAATAAAGGACTATAAATAAGCAATTATTTACAACACAGCTTCCCAAATTAAATATGAATAAAGTGAAGAGAAGCAAAACAACAACCTTTCGTAGTAATGATGATACCGTTCCATCGCTTTTTTCTCTCATTAGACAACATTGCAATGTGAATCCGCATCCTCAACATACTTATTACACGAAAACCAGTCACTTCCATGTGGAGCCCATGCACCTTGAAATAAATTATAAAGTATTTCAAATGCTTTTTGTAAATTTAACACCACGGAGATAAGAAGTAAACAGTGTTATAGATAAAATGAAGTGATGATCTGACAGATAGCTAAAGTAGTGTTTTATGTTATGAATAAAGTAAGTGAGGGCCCGCTCCCCCCCCCCCCCCCCCCAAAAATGAGTTATCAGATCTTCTGAAATCTCACCCAGACAAATCCAACAGAATTCAAAGCTGCAGTTCCTGTTGTTACAGGTCATGTGGTTGCAACCACCCAGTTTTTCTATTGCAGCCGCACATTTCGGGCATTCCTGAAGAAGTGTGAGGGTGAACTTTTCACGATAGAGAACATAGCATGGGCCACAAGATTGTGATTCTCGGATAAAATGAAATACGGTAAAACCCCGATTTACTGCAAAGTTTGGGAGAGGAAATGGTATGGTAAATTTGGGTGCAAGATAAATCGTACACCTCGATTAATGGAAGAACATGTAAATGGTTTTAATATCATTAAAAAATATCAAACAGTTTACAAATACTATCAAAACCAAAATATTTTTATTCTTGTAAGAAATTACCTTGGTGTTGATAACCAACCACTTATTTGTTTCACTTTCGTCTATCGCTTTCTGTTTCCATTTCTTAAGAATCTGACAACTTTCCAAGGGTAAATGATCCGGTTCACCACACCCAAAACACCACTGAGACAAACACTTCAGTTATTATAAATCCTTAAATTGAAATAGACAGAGACTATGCCAGATCCGATCACAGAATATTGCACCTGTTAAACTGCAGTCTCAAACAAATTCCGGGCAAATTCCATACTAAAATCACACATACCTCCATACCACAGGAACAAAGAATGTGTTTGACGTCTAGAGATAACACTTCCGCGGAGTTACCACGCCCGTTGAGGCACTTTTAACATGAGATTCGAGGAGATGTAACTTCTCGCTATCAGCTGGTAATATCGGGTTCGCACTTTATCCCTTGATATTGTGCTCCTGGAATTATGTGTGACTTCATCACATTGTATCGGTGTTAACAACTGCAAAATTATACGTTTTGTCGAGATCAATCTAGATAATAAAGTGGCAGTGAAATTTGTTATGAAAACAAATATTATTTTAGTCTATGCTGCGCGGCGCGGTATCAACGTATTGAACGCGCTCAATACTTTTATTTTTAGAACCTATGCGCCCTACATATTTTACAAACAATAACTACTCCAGTATTCCTGCCCCACTGGCCCACTCAGTAACCCGAAAAGCAAACTCTTTTAAATTATAACTTCATTCTAAAAACGATTTGAAATAACATTGTAATTTTACTTACAAGACAAACTTTTCGTTTACGTAAGTAGAGCATTCAGTCGCCATACATTGAATATTCTGAGGGTGAAGGGAAAATTAAATAGACTTATTAAATTGTGCAATTAATAAATAAATGAGGAGCTCGACTAGACCTGAAGCTTGGTGACGAACTCTTGTTCATTAATAATAACCATCAGATCTTTCAAAACAATACATAATAACGCTTAAGGACACAGGTAATTCAAACGGAAGAAATAATTACTGTCGAGGTGAAACACAGTGTATACGATTATCAAATTAATTAACACGGTAATAAGCTAATTAATTAGGATTTACCTCAGCTACACCATTATCCATGATCTGGGTAGTAAAGTAGGTGTTCCAGCATATCTTACAATAGTAATGCTTACACAACATCCCGATTGTTTCCTGGGAAAGATTAAGTTACAAAATGTATTGATCTTACTTAAGTTAATTTCAGACACAAAACGTTATAATCAAGAGTTATAGAGACCACATCTGGTTCCACGAGATGAGTACATTTAAATGTCAACAAAATGGTATTGAGTTAGATTTAGTTAATATATTGAGTAATGAGTAGGCATTGTAAGAAGTTATTTTTTGATTTTCGCCATTGGTATTTGGGTGTGTTGTACCTCGTAATACATGTCCATAGTTGTGGATACTGATGAGAGGGGGCGGAAGAGCCAATATCACGTTAAAAAACTAATATGGCTCACGGCCAGGCCTAGGAAGACCTCTCCATTATAAATAAATTGATAGCGTACATTTTTTGTGTAAAGTTCTAGATTATTGGCATGATTCAAGAATCTTGCAAAGCTGGATTTTTAATGCAAGATTATAAGATTGGTACGGTTTTTTTCTGTTTAGTGTTTTTAAAAAAGCATTTTAATTCCAATAATTAGGAAGCACTAGGACAATATATTATCAAATTAAATTATATAACGATTATGATGATATATATATATATGAAATTTATTATGTATAAAAATGTAATTACTACTCCACATCAAGGTAGTCGTGTAGGCAGACCATACCGTTCCGTTAATTGTATTGGCGAGAAACCTGAAAAAGAGGTACAGTAAAAATCATGATTCCACGCAAACTCCGATTTCCCACGGCTGCCTCTGTTTCCCAAACCTCAGCGTTAAATCAGTTTATTTGAGGAGATATGTTTATGATACTGACAACGTAAGTGAAATTAACCGAAGACTGGTATGGGTTTAAAAAATAAAGTACCGGAAATCCTTCCGGTTCAAATAAAGCGGATGCTGGTTCCAATATATTATAATTTAATTTAATTCTAACGTCTATTTTTTTCTACAAACATACTGGGGGGGGGTGGGGGCCAACTCATATTAAAGTATATTAAAATGAGGAATTTTTCCCGATTTTGACCCGTGGATATACGTTATATACTTTAATATACCTACAATATACAGTTAATATATCCCTCTCTCCTTGGAGGCCAACATCAAAATGTTGCCGCCAAAATTAGCTTGAACATGCAAATTTCTTAATCGATTCCAAAAAGTTCATGAAAAAAATTATTGACACTGATCGAGTTATTTTAAGTTTAACGAAGTCATTTGGCTAGTATCCGAACCGAAGATATTATTTTGCAATTTTGCCCAATTTTTTGTTCATGGAAGGTCTTTTTACTTAGTATCCACTATATTCAACAAACACTGAAATTATATCTTTCACATAGAGTTAGTCCTCTATTAAAAAATATTGAAATTTTTATCGAATTTGGCAAAAGCGAATTTGGGGCAAAAAGTGTATGCCCAAAGATGGGCAAATTTTTTCCCGATCCATGACACAAAGATGCTGAAGGCACAAAAGAGTCAAGGACAAGGGTACGATCGAGGTTTTTTTTATATGGTAGCTTTGCGACCTTGCCCTGCAAGCGTCGACCGCCGTACGTGCCTGCAGCACTGTATCGCCCAGGGACTACCTGCGCAAAGTTTATTTTGCGTGATAATCTTAATTTTAATGGTTGGCGCGCGGCGCTGACCAACCAAGGTACATTATTAATTTTCATCATGTGCGTACCACGAGGCACTAATTGAAGCTTATATATTATTATTTTGAGTTAGTATTACCATTTTGCACAGATCAGTGTCCAGGTTGCATAAACAATAAACATATGTTACATAGAAGTATACACAGTTTCAAATCATATAGAATAGTATTAACTGGGCGGCGCTCGGCAGTCCAGCATGTCAACTTCGCCATAGTTGCATGTTATATAAACAGTAAGACTGGGCCGTCCCCAGTTTTTTACTTGTACGAATATGAAAAATACGCCATCACGGATCGGGAAATTGAATGCGCCATCCACAAAAGAAAAGGCGGCCCATTTCTTCTATTTAAGCTCATAGCTACAGCCAATTTTTGACCAATCTGATGAAATTCAGTACTAGTCCAAAACAGGCTTATCTTGCGACTCCTGAGTGACAATTATAGTTCATCATGTAAGCTTAACGAAGAATATAAATCTTCTATTTGTAGGTATATTAAAGTATATTAAAATGTTGGATTTTTCCGTTTTGACCCGGGATATACTTAATAAACTTTAATATGTTCCCCCCCCCCCCCCCCCCCCCCATTACTGTGTTTTTCCACTACTAAATTAAACATAACACACAGCAGTGATTGATAACAGCAAATTAACTTATGTTATCAGAAAATAAAAATTTCAAAAAGTTTGTCCTTTTTCCTTTGGTCCAGTCGTTTAGGTTTTATATTGATAACCTAGAATATTTAGATGAGGATACTGGCGGGGAGTGAACATATTTGTTCGACACAGACAATAATTCTGGGCTTTGATTGGTTTAATTCTGAATCTATTGGTTAATCTCGTCACGGTCAAAACCAATATGTTCACCTCTCCACCAGTAGTCATATCAATATTTGCGATAAACCGATAGAACAATTATCATGAATTATTAAGAATTTGCTGTTCTACTTTGACCAAAAAGTAAATGACAGCTTCGGCAAGAGTAATTGCTACCATTTCTGAATTTTATTTTCCGATCTAGGTAATTTTTAGACAATTATCAATTATCACATAGCCCTGCAGCGAAGTATTACTATGACCAGAAATGAAACACAGTACTAGAAATAACTGCAAGAATGGAAATGATATATTTGAAACCTACTGTTCAACTAAAGACAAACAATCCCATCATGTTACCCAGAGCGCCTCAACAAAAGTGATGTAGAACCTTTACCCTGACGATCAGCCCGGCTGTAGTTTTCAAAATGATAGATACCAGCAACTCAACTACGAGCTGAGTTATTGTATACAGAGCTTTAGAGAAACCTAGTGGGGGAGATTTTATTGTGCGTCATAGTTTTGAATATACACATTTCCAATATTATCTGGAAGATTTAACCCATGTTAAACAAAATTACAGAGTGTAAGAATAAGCAACTAACCGAAAGCGAGTGCGATATTGTAGTGAAACACCAAACTGCTATGTAATTATGAAGTGAAGAATATGGTCATATCGGAATCAATCAACCCTGTGTGTAACAATAATCAACAGTCGCAAGCATGGGCAAAACTTCCAGGAAATCACTGGACACAGAGGAACAAGATGGTACAATTTGTTAAAGATTTTGTAACGGTAACATTTCTCCCGTTTACCGTTTTACCCCAACTTTGACAAAAGTATTCAAGAAAGAATTTCCCGCTAAGCAGGAGAACTTTCGTCAATAATTTTCAAGAAGATTTGGAAGATTTTAGTGATGGTGGAAAGACAATGTAAAGTGATCTAACCTTGATAGCCTTTACATCCTGAGTTTTCGCGCACCCAGCATGAACATGTTAGGGAACTTATTATTAGCTATTGGTGTACAGATAAGACCATTTGTACAAGCTCCAAATGTGTTTGGGTAAGTGTATAGTTTAAAATCGGGCCGAACAACTCGTTCAGGAATATTTACCTTCGGACAATAACCCTGACGTCATTCCATCACCCACGTTGTCAAGGACATTTTAGGAATATACAACGTTGACCAAACAAACAGTAAGTAATTGATAAATTCAGACGAGAAGTTAGTTGGGGTTCAATGGACCCGCTGGACGTTAAACTGTTGTACTACTAGCCAAGAGCACAACTACACTGTCAAATGAGGCAACAAATTGAACATTATTGAAACCGTGTAACATTGGTGACGCCATGACATCCCCAAGCATCTACAAAAGCCGCTAGAAAAAGCAGTTTTTTGCACGTTCCTATTTATCGGATACCAGAACCTAAAGTGATGAACTCTGGCGTAAAATAAAAAGCTATCTTAAGGACAAAAAGTATCCACCCAATTGTCCATAATAATGATTAGGGATTTAAAAACGAAAAACTACGCATATCGAATGTCTTGGCAATGCCTGGCTAAACCTTAATACGTTTATTTCAAGGAAAAGGAATTCACGTGTTTTTGACGATATTCAAGGAGTGTTTAGGTGGGATATGCCAAAAGACAGCACAAATAAAGACTAAGAGATATAAACGCATTTTAGAACTTGCAATGTTCTTTTCTGCATGGGTTGCATCTCATGTGACACGTTACAAAGCCCCAGGTACAAGCTGATGAGGAGAAATGTCGGAAATGACTCTAAACTAGCAAACTTTTTAACGACAAATTGTCATCTACACAGCATGTAAGTCTATCAAAGAACTGGTGAGAAACACTCTGATTTTTGTCGAAAACATTGTCACAATTCGAGAACATACCATTGAGCCGGAACACAAGTATCAATATATAAAAAAGATTAGCCATTTTGCAAGCCCCCGGCACTACATACATGGACCAAAATCTATCGTGCATGTTTTCTGCAAAAGTTTAAAAGGAACTTATATATTCTATTTTTGACAAAGAATTTAATGAATTATGTTTTGATTATTGATAATGTAATGATGTGGGATTTCTTATACTCACTGTGATCCTGATAGTAACATAGAAATTTAGTCAAAACATTTGATGGATGGGATATTATTTCAAAAGATATTACACCAAGGAGGTGAATGTCAACATATCAAAAGAATGGCCTGCAGTTATAGTTTTGCACGTTTGTATGATTATAAACTTGATACACTGACTGAGGGACTGAGAATGTTTCATTGATTCAGAACTTTTTATACTTGCCATTCACGAGCACGAGTTTAAGTGCACAGTAATAATGTTTTTTGATGAAGGTGACGAAATTTGAGGATTACATTGCATGTGTAGGTCTACTTGATAAACTTCAATAAGATTCTGCGCGAAGTAAGATATCACTAATACACAAACTTTAAAATACAAATTTATTAACTGAACCAATTACTTATTAATGAGGGATTTTAAATAACTTGTGAATAAAACAACGGTAAAATGTGGAAAAGTAGAAGCCTAATGTTGTACTACATTAGCTCGTTCGCTTGTTATTGATGATATGATTGAACGGGACACAGTTGCAGTGACCTTGCAGTTTAACAAAATATTTATCATATATAATATGGTGAAAATTGCATTATAACTGTTTTATCAAGTTATTATAACGTGTAACAACTGCTTTATATTATCACTTTCAACTCTAAAATTAAATATCCGTCTAAATCCGGTTTCAGCCCTGGTCCGGTTTAAAGCTGCCGGAAATCACCGGAAATTTCAAACCGTCCCAAGATACTACACGACCACTGCAATACCATGATCTAATAAGAATAGTTGTGCTGTTTTTCATCCTCCCATTATAAGGGGGGGGGGGGGGTGGGGGGTCCAAGAACAAATAAATATTTTGTTAGAGTGCATTCTTCCATTTAAAGTTTTCATTTACAAAAAATAACATAAACGGAAACGGAAACTACTTTCTCTTTCGATCAGAACAAAAGCAATAAAAACTTGTGCCGAGCTCTACAACATGTCCCAAAATGTCAAAATTGACCTCCCCCTCTCTCTGGGCCTTAATTTTTTAAGGACACTTAAAATGTTGGCCTATAACTGTTTAATTATATTGTTGTAGATATTTCCTTTGGTTGAGCCCCCGTTCCGTTTTGAATTAGTAGCAAGATAATATGCTTGTGTTATGACCGTTATTATTTGATTACAATGAAGGTTTCTGTGAAACGTTTTCGCTTAGTTCTTGCACGCACACACATGAGCACACACTTGACTAACGAGCATACACGTCACACACACACAAATCCAAATTTCAAGAACCATGATATAAGAAGAGTAAGTTCTCTTGTTGTTCTGGAATGTGAATTATGTAATACCGGCCGGAGATGAGCGTTGTAACAATCTAGTGATGTACCGTTTTCTGTCATTCTCTTTGTGCCTCTGTGTTTCGAGAAGGTTTATTTCTTCGTGTATTTGAATATCTTACGTTGCAAAGTTATTGATAACTTATTTCGTAGATTAATCAGATCAGTTGAAGTTGACTTCATTGTAGTGTCTTTCTATGTCTCTTAGTCACTTTAATTCTACATAAAAAGATTTTACTCCTCAATTCAGTTTTCTAGAGTTAAGATCTCGTTTAACCCGAAAAAGAGATTGATATCCGGCACTTTCCGGTCCGGTTGCCCAAACCCCAACCAGTCGGTTCCACAATAATCAGATATATTGGTTAATAGTACTTAAAACAAATCACTATAACATCCGTACTAATCTAATTAAATTATTACAATTAAGAAAGTGGGGGGGGGGGGGGGGGTCCGAGGACAATAATAATTTTTTCCCAGTTACCAGGCATATCTTACATGGCGCATGCACATTGCAGCGCTACCCCTAGCCAACCAGAGCGCTTGTTATATGCCGTAAAATCTCGTTAGCTTGAGTCGCGACTTCACGAACGTACACACCACACGCAACATTCCAGTACATGATCTAAGAAGAGTAGTTTCTTTTGTCTGAATGTAATATGTAATACCGGAATATGAGCCGGTTTATAAAAGTGAAGTGTAACCTTTCTGTCATTTTCTCTTGTGCTCTCTGTTTCGTGAGTGTATATTTCTCCGTTTTACTTGATAAACGTACCGTTGTTAAGTTAGTGATAACTTTGTTGTATTTATTAAGAGCTAAGTTAATTAAGATTTCAACATTGTCGTCATTTTGTAACGTGTCTTTATCACTTCTGCATGTTACATTCCACTTTCTGTACCTGTAATTAAGGGGGGCTGGTTTTTCACCTCAATCATGCAATAGTAATGACCACTGCTTTTCTACTAATAAAGTGACAGAATTACAAGTGCAAAATCCAGGGAGTCCTCCACAACCAGGTTGTATCTTATTAAAATAGTTTTCGCAAAAACCCTAAGTTACTGATACTGATGGCGAAGCTTCTAGCGTTAGGGCCCCGGTATTATTATTACATTTGATTAGGCTGACAAGGATAATAAGACTAAAGTACTTTCACCTTTGCACTACAGTGAAGATTGCTATGACCAGAAGAAACACAGTAAGAGAAATACCTGCGGATGGGAGTGAGATATTTGAAACTACTGTTCAACTGAGACAAACATCCATCATTTACCCAGAGCTCCCAGCCAAAGTATGTTAGAAACCTTACCCTGAGATCAGCCCGGCTGTAGTTTTGAAACGACAGACACCCAACTCAACTATGAGGCTGAGTTATTGTATACAGAAGGCTTTAGAAAACTGATTGGAGGAATTTTTATTGTTTTCAGATTTGTACAAACGCATTGTTTGATCTAGCAATACTTGGATAAAATATTTTCAATTTTTGTGGCACTGGGCACGGAGATGAAAGTGTTTAAAAGTCAACTTTTCCGGTTGGGAATATCGAGTTTGGTTGGCAGCATGGCTTTTTTCCGCCCGGCTCACCAAGTTTAAATGGTTAAAACATGAGCATTTCCTGTACACAGTTACACGAAAGCTGTTCTCATCATCATAAAGTATCAAACAAAACCACAAAAAGTTAAAACATCAAGATAACTTAAAGAAGTGCCCCGATCTTTGTACAAAAAAAAGATCATCAATAATGCATTGAAATGGTTAAAGCATCTGAATTTTCATTCAAAGGATTTTAAAAGTTGTTTTATCTTGTTGTGGTTGTCCAACTAACATAACTGATATTTAAATTAACGAAGGAGCACTGGATATCGTTTATCGGTCAATAGATTTTGTTCTATTTTGATTATTCTTAAAATGAGTAGAATTTTAAAAATAAATTTCACATGCTTTAAATGATTTTATGCGTTACATATTATGTTAAACGTTTGTTTGATAGGCTACTTGAAGTTTTAAAATTTAAATTATCTGATAATATATTCTGTTCATACATAACACAACTATTCCGGTAAGGAGTGGGAGGTGTCTAATTTTATTAAGAGCACGATTTTGAGCACGCATTTGAATAAAATAGTAGTAGAATTTGATAAGGTGCTATTAAAGTTAAGAAATTCAAGATTAGCAGCCGCATTGATAGATACTGTAGTGAGTACTGTACTGGTGAGAGATGAACCATATTTGTGTTGACACGTGACAGTGATTCTGGGTTTTCATTGGTCAATATAGTAAGCTGATTGGTTAATCTCTGTCACGTGTCTAAGAAAACATAGTTCATCTCCTTTAAACCAATATCTCTATCATCAGTAGTTCACTTGTCTTAATATTTTGAGTCTCATGAACTATATCTGTGGGAAGAAATCAATATTTACCCCAATAATCCTGTATAAACTTATAAAACTTGATTTTATTTATCTAATTACCCATTGCCGGCAGGCTATTATTATAAATGTTAAATGTTCTCGGATCATGATGAAGACTTCTCTTTCGACGATGATCTTGAGTACAGTAACTCTGAAACCAGTGATACTCATCAGGTCAGTTTGTCTTGTTTCGTTTTGCCAGGACCTCGTGCCCCAAAGCTCTATCATAACCCTTACCGTAACGCTAATACCAACCACAACTTTAATCCCAACCACAATCCCAACCTTAACCATAACCACAACCTTAACCACAATCCCAACCACAACCACAACCTTAACCACAACCTTAACCACAACCTTAACCACAACCTTAACCACAATCCCAATCACAACCTCAATCCCAACCACATCCTTAACCACAACCACAACCTTAACCACAACCACAATCCCAATCCCAACCACATCCTAAGTCACAACCTTAACCACAACCTTAACCACAATCCCAATCACAACTTCAATCTCAACCACAACATTAATCACAATCCCAAGTCCCAACCACAAACACAATCCCAAGCACAACCTTAATCACAATCACAACATAAACCACAATCTCAACCACAACCTTAACCACAACCCCAATCCCAACCACAACCGTAACCAAAATCCCAACCACAACCTTAATCCCAGCAACAACCTTAACCTCTTAACCACAACCACAATCCCAATGTTAGGGGCGCTTATTTTTGAAGTGCTTAAAAACCAGAGCAGAGCTAGCATGATAACGTGAAAGAATGACTAGTAACTACTAACTACCCTTCCCATCACTCTATTATTTCAACCAATTTATTGCAGCAAGAAAGAAGATACAACATCGTGGCGGCATCGGACGTTATCAGCGAGATGAACAAATATATAGACAGAGTTAATGAAATATTTAAAGTGGGTAACATTTAGTTCAGTTAATTATTGGATGGAAATGTCTTCCATGATTTGATTATTATTCATTGAATTAATTTAATTGTAATTTTATTGCTACTCATATTTTAGCTATTTGATAATTATTTGATAATCAATTGATAATTAATTAGTAATTACTGACTCTATCAGATAAAAAGATCGTTAGTTCGTCGACTGTTAGTTCACTTCAAGTGGAACCCTGAACGACTTATTGAAAAGTACGTACAGTTTCTTTTTTTACATTTTTTTACATTTTACTGTAAAAAGTATGAAAAAAAAGCAGAGATCAGAAAAAAGGCAGACGTTCTGGTTCCATAAACCAGAATTTTAGAAGGATGTTTTGAAAGATGGTTATCAAGAATCAAGATGAGATGAGGAAAAAAGGACAAAATTTACCTAATTTATCTTGTCACATATCCAGTATCCACAAACAGAGGTGTTTGTTATAATAATAATAATAAATAATTTAGCTAAATACAACTATAAAATTAGTAAATATTTAATTTAATTAACAATTTTTAATAATAGAATAAGGTGGAATTTAATTGGAATGTCATTTGACCAGGTATTACGAGAGTCAGGACAACTGTGAGGAATTGTTCAGAGAGGCTGGTCTTGTGTACGTTCCTGAGTGCACCGACACATACCGTAGACAGGTAGATTATTAATTTACTGTTTATTCATTAAATTGATTTACTAATATTAAGTAATTGTAATTTTTTGTATTTTTAGTACTTTAAATACTAGTGGGAGTGGTTTAACATGTTTAGACACATACCGTAGAAACTTAGAAGGGTAAATTATCAATGAACTGAAATGATTGAATATTTTAGCAATCAACGATTAAATCAGGGTAACAAGTTCACATTTACTTCAATTTAGCTATATAAAACTTGACATACAAAAAGAGTCCAGAATATTTTATTGGATTCAAGCCATTTCATAGCTTCGTCTAAAATATCATAAAGATAAAATCAGTAGTATAATAATATCATCAACTACAAAGTAAAATAAAATAGTACAAACATGAGGAAATTTATACCGATGTTTATTCACAAGATATTTAAATCCGCAAATAATAAATTAATTCAGGAAATAAATTGTATTTTAAAGATTGAAGTGTTAATGATATCTTACTTCAACAGAATCTTTAAGCTTATCAAGTAGACTACGCGTGTTTTGATATTGATCATCCTCAAGTATAGTACCTTCATCAGGAAACATTATTACTGTGCACTTAACTCGTGCTCGTGACATAGCAACATATAAAAAGTCATAATCAAATATAACCTTTTCTGACTCTTCAATAAATGTCTTGAAGCTGTCTTCTTCAGCTTCATAATCAAATAACTGTTGCAAAACTATAACTGCAGCCCATTCTTCTGAATATGTTGATATCACCCTCCTTGGTGTAATAATAATATCTTTTGAAAAGAATATCCCATCCACAATGGTTTTAACTAAATTGTCTATACCAATATTGTAAAGAATACCCACATCATTACTATCTATCATATCATCAAAACATAATTCATTAAATTCTTTGTCAAAAATAGAATATATAAGTTGCTCGTTAAACTTTTGCAGAACATGAACAATAGTTGTTGGTCCATGTATGTAGTGCCCGGGGGCTTGTAACATGGCTAAATCATATGTAAATGTTAATAGATCTACTGGCTTCATGATATGTTCTCGAATGACTGACAATGTTCTCGACAAATCAGAGGTGTTTCTCAAGTTCTTTGATAGACTTACAAGGTGTGTAGATGATAATTCGTCGATAAGAAGTCTGGCTAGTCTAGAGTCATGTCTTAACCTTTCCTCCTCATCAGCAATGTAAAGCGGATTTTGTATCGTGTCACATGAGATCCAAACGTGACAAGAACATGACAGTTCTAACAATGCTTTAAATATCTCATAGTTTTTATTGCTGTCTTCAGTCTTCTTTTACTTTATCCCACCTGAACACTCCTTGAATATCGTCGAAAAACATGTGAATTCCTTTTCCTTGAAATAAACGTATTATGCGTATAAGCGATGTATTATCAATGACTTTGATATGCTTAGTTTCAGTATTAAAATCCCTTATCATCATTATGACAACTTGATTGTCATTAATATAGCCTCTTATTTTATGCCAGATTTCATCAGCAGGTTTACCAACCATTTCTTTAACAACAATAGAAACGTGCTTAACACCTGCTTTTTGTAGCGGCTTATGTAGATGCTCTGGGGATATCATCTTCATTTTTGGTACGAAACTCAGGACGCAAAGGCTCATCCAAGACAAGATCACTTACATTGTCTTTCCACCAATCACTAAAATCGTCTAAATCTTCTTTGAAAATTATTGACGAAAGTTTATCCCTGCTTATCGGAAATTCTTTCTTGAATGCTTTTTGAAAGTTGGGGTAAACGGTAAACTGGAGAACTGTTAACCGTTTACAAAATCTTTTAACAAATTGTACCATCTTGTTCCTCTGGTCCAGTGATTTCTGGAACGTTTTGCCCAATGCTTGCGACTGTTGATTATTGTTACACTCAGGGTCTGATTGATTCCCGATATGACCCATATTCTTCACTTCAATAATTACAAAGCAGTTTGGTGCTATCACTACAAAGTCGCACTCGCCTTCTCTGTTAGTTACTCTCTTCTTACACTCTGTACATTTCCGTTTAACATGAGTTAAATCTCCCAGATAATATTGGAAATGAGTATATTCAAAACTATGAAGAACAATAAAATCTCCTCCTCTCAGTTTCTCTAAAGCTCTGTATACAATTACCTCAGCCTCATAGTTGAGTTGCTGGTTTCTGTCGTTTTCAAAACTACATCCGGGCTGATCTTCAGGGTAAAGGTCTACATACTTTTGTTGAGGAGCTCTGGGTAACATGATGGGATGTTTGTCTCCAGTTGAACAGTAGGTTTCAAATATGTCACTCCCATTCTGCAGGTATTTCTCGTACTGTGTTTCATTCCGGGTCATAGCAATCTTCACTGTAGTGCAAATGTTTAGTACTTTAGTCTTAATTAATCTTGTCAGCTAAACAAATGTAAAATAATACCGAGGTTCTGATGCTAAGAGTTATTGCCCATCAAGTATCGGTACTTAGGAATCAGCCGAAACTATTTTTATAAAGATGGAACCTGGTTGTAAAAGAAGTCCTGAATTTGCCACTTGCTTAGCTCTTCTTAGTAAAAAACCAGCGGTCACCACTTATTGAGGTGACAACCAGCCCCCTTAATGACAGGTACAGATAGTGGAATTTAAGATGCATAGTGATAAAGACACGTAAAAATAAAAAGACAACTTTAAAAATATCTTAATTTACATAGATCTTAATAACTACGACTAAGTTATTACAACGTAAGATAATCAAATAACACGAAGAATTTTACATCACGAAACACAGAGAGCACAAAGAGAAATGACAGAAAAGTTACACTCAATAATTATAGCACGGCTCATCTCCAGCTACAGGTATTACATAATTCACCTTCCAGAACAACAGAACTACTCTTCTTAGATCATGGTACTGGAATGTGCGTTTGCAGTGTACGCTTTTTGTTTGTTTGTGAGTCGTGCGTTCAAGCTAACGAGATTTTACGATAAACAAGTGCTCTGGTTGGCTAGGGGTAGCGTGCATGTGCCGTGTAGGATATGGCCTGTCAACACTCAACTGGGAACAAAGTTTTTTGTCCTCGGACCCCTAACCACCCCCCCCCCCCCCCCCCCCCCCTTTCATAATGTAATAATTTAATTATTACGACTTTTATCGCTAGGTAGCCGAAATTTTCGCACATATTATATCGCTATATTATGTTGCTGTTACGCTATCGCCGTACACTGTACAACCACACGAGGAATTATACCTCACGAAGCACAGAGAGCACAAAGAGAAATGACAGAAAAGTTACTCTCACTAATTATAACACGGCTAATCTCCCGGTCTTACATAATTCACATTCCAGAACAACAACAGAACTACTCTTCTTAGATCATGGTACTTGAATGTGTGTGTGCCGTGTATGCTCGTGAGTCATGTGTGTGCGTGCACGAAACTAAGCCGAAAAGTTTCACAGAACCTTCCATGTAATCCAATAATAACGGGCATAACACAAGGCATAATATCTTGCTAATAATTCAAAACGAACGGGGCTCAACCAAAGGAATATAAAAACAATTATATAATTATACATGTTATGGGACCATTAGTGTCCATTAAAGAAGGCCACAGGTAGGGGGGGGGGGGGGGGTGGGTGGGTCAATTTTGACATTCTGGGATATGTTGTAGAGCTCGGCATACATTTTTTAATGCTTTTGTTCTTATCGAAAAAGAAGAAGTTTCCGTTTCTGAAATTGTGGTTTACATGTAATTTTATTGTAAATGAAAACTTCGAATGAAATTTCGTTTGAAAGATCTTCTTTTATAGTTGTAAAGTTGAGACCTTGTTACTTAGGTCACGTGTTCTTCAAGGTCTTGTAGAGATGAAAATGATAATATAAATAGCTCTAGGGAAAGTTAGGGCTTATAACAGATATGTGGGCGTGGGCCGTGGGATGACCGATTGACTGCTATAAAAAAATTTTACTTTAGATTTGAGCAACAAAATGTTAAGAATCTGTAATATACAAGCTTACAAGGTTAACTGATTAAAGGGTCAACTGTTAACGTCAATTTCACGACAAAGTAGGCGCTCTGGTGAGCTAGGGGTTGAGGGTAGGCGCTGGGTGGGACAAAGCCTGCCTATTGACAAAAATATTTATAGTTCTCGGACCCCCCCCTCTCATGAACAACAACAGAACTACTCTTCTTAGATCATGGTATAGCAGTGCTCGTGGATTATCTCTAGACAGTTTGAAATTTACGGTTGATTTCCGGCAGCTTTTAAACCAGACCGGGGCTGAAACCGGATTTAGACAGTTATTTAGTTTTAGATATTGTAAAGTGGTAATTATAAAGCAGTTGTTGCACATTTTAACTTAATAAAACAGTTATAATGTAATTTTTACATATATAATATGATAAATATTCTGATAAACTGACAAGGTGACTGCAACTGTGTCCCGGCTCAATCATATCATCAACTACAAGCGAAGATAACGTAATACAACATCTGACTTTATACTTTTCAAATTATACCGATGTTTATTTACAAGATATTTAAATCCCTCATTAATAAATTAATCTGGTTCAGTTAATAAATTGTTTTTTAAAGTTTGAAGTGTTAGTGATACCTTACTTCAACAGAATCTTTAAGTTTATCAAGTAGACTACACATGAGAGGATAATCCTCAACTAAAGCACCTTTATCAGGATACATTATTACTGTGCACTTAACTCGTGCTCGTGACATGGCAATATATAAAAATTCTGAATCAAATGATAACTTGACAGACCCTCCAGTCAGTGTCTCACATGCATAATCAAATAAGGGTTGCAAAACTATAACTGCAGGCCATTCTTTTGAATATGTTGACATCACCTCCCTTGGTGTTATATCTTTTGAAAAGAATATCCCATCCACAATGGTTTTAACTAAATTTTCATTGTCATCCCAAGTATCGTAAATAATACCCACATCATTACTATCTATCATATCATCAAAACATAATTCATTAAATTCTTTGCCAAAAATAGAATAAATAAGTTCCTCATTAAACTT